CATGTAATAGTATCTTTATTAATTAACTACAGTGTTACAATATTTTTTTATTTCATTTCACAAGAGATAAACATTTTTACCTTGAAGTGGAACTATCCAAATCTCAGTTTCTTTTCATAAGATGCAATATCTAATGATTTGGTGCCGTTTCCATGCATCTTCAGCCTTTTCTCATCTGATGAATTTTTCTACCCTTTCCACTCACTATAAAGTGTTACAACTTTAATCTAGACACAACACATAAATAGTAATTGGAAAGGTACTGCCATTGCATGTGTAATGCAAATATATTTAAAAAAAAAATAATGTAAGAGTTGAAATTGATACAACTATCCATAAGCCAATTGACCAAAGAACGAAGATTTGCGCAATTACAGAATGCATATGCCTGGTTCGGGTTTAAAAATAAAAGACCGTTTACAAAACATGAGAAGCGAAAGTGAACAGTAAAAATCGACATGATGAAATTATGAGGTCGTCAAGAAATGAACTTAGTGATAATTTACTCGTTCCCTAAACCTGAAATAATTCCATCGTCTACTTTCAAAATGCTTTTCAAATGAATGGGACCGTCTTTAACCTAAAATATATGCCATACTGAACGTTTCAGCTTGTTTATGGTGAGTAAATAAAAACTGCGTCGTACAAACAACTGTTTACTTTCAGTTTGAGTTTATCGTGACTTACGATCTAAAAACTAGAGACGTTCCGAAATCCTGTTTTGGCCGGATCAGAACTCGGCCAATACGGAAAAAAAATCTGTATTGGCCGAGTTGACATCTTATATTGCATATGCAGTTTTCATCATTTTAAGTACAATAACAGTGTAGTTAATTAATAATGATACAGTTACAGACTCTGCTGCTATAACTTTGTGAACAAAGATTCATACGCACCGCGTGGGTATAACCGTATTACTAATTTCCGATTATTAAAATCTTCGTAAATCTTGATAAAGACCAGTTTCTATCCAATGGATATCAAAATGATTCCGATTATTACTTTTTTAATGATTGTAAAGTTGAAATGGCATGAAAGGCTGACATTATTTAGGAGAACTATTTTGTCTAGCGATTGCTGATCATTGGAGGGTAAAAAGTCCAACACCATAACAAAACGGATCTATTTATCATGTATACATACCGATTGTTTACGATTGTAAGACATGTGCATAAAAGTGAAAGCTCGAATAAATATGAAAAATATAACAAAGGGATAGCTCCAAATACCATTTAATAACAAAAAACATATGGACAGGTCAAGATATCTTTTTGGTAAATAAAATAACGTATGTATACTGGTTCCCGTCCGACTACAACACTTTAACAAAGACTTTGTTCGAGTGTAGCGTAATACAAGCAGATTCCAGTTAGTATGTAAAATAGTAAATATGAAACCGAGTGCGGTAGGCGGAGGCATAATCAACTTCCGTTAGTTCTGGTCAATGGTATCGGAAACATGCCGCTGATAGCGTCATTTTCCAAAAATGACGCCATTGTCTCTCATATTGGGATATTTTTGATGCAAGTCTTGATTTTTACTTAATTTACCTACTGAATCTTAGGCGACGTTTCAGTTTATGGTAGGTAGGGTGACTGATAGAATAAATATGAATTGTTTCCACAATCTATAGAGTTTTTATTTGTTTGTCAAGATATATATATATGTGTGTGAAGTGAAAATAACTACTAGTTGTTCTGCTGTACAAAAAAATAGCTCAAGACTACCTGAACAATCTACAATATTCAAAGTAATATGTGAATTTGTTTCCCTTATTTGTAGAATTATTTAACAAAATGATTATGAAGAGCCTGTAGTAAGAAAGCTCTTATACCCAACATAGTCCTTATTCAAGAGATAAGTTACAGGTGACCTAGTGACATAATCACATTGTTATTTCAGTTACCTAAACATGATCAATTTCTGTAAATTTAGACAATAGTATTGTTATACTAGTTTCACAATTACAAACAAAGTGACACCATTTATACAACTTAATTTCATTGTGAAGAGCCTGTAGTAAGCAAGCTTACACTGAAATCTTAAAATGACAACATAAATTATTGCAAAATTATTTTTTTTCAATTGATTTAATGTTTAGTACCGTAGTCATTTATTTCAAATAATTGACCCGTAATAAAATAAGGAGATGGGGTGTGATTGCCAATGAGATAACAGTCTGATGTACTATCTACCAGAGTCCAAACAATGTGGCTGTTGGCAGTTATAAGTCACTTTCAGACCTCAACAATGTACCAAACCGGTTTATTGTTTTCAGGTACCACAGGAAAAAAAGAAGTTGTGGCCAGGTGCTGCCATGATTTAAAACTATTAGAATTACACAGTTTTGTCTGCATTCAGAGAAAATTTCATGGGTATGCATGACACAAATGTCTTTAGGCAGTTGAACATTGATACATGACATAATACCAGTTTATGGTCACGGTACTTAAGTCAAAATGTATCGGCGTGTAATTTTGTAAGTAATAACATTTTATCTCATGGAATAATAGTTCAATGCTGTAATTTATTGTGCAAACATTTTATAGTATGTATAATTGAAGATACTGGTATTTGTCAATGAGACAGCAACCCAACAACACTAAAAACCAAAAAACATCTAGAGGTCTTCAACAATAGACAGTTGTCTATACAATATGTAAATCTCTTGTTGCCAGTCTAAAAATTGTGAATATATTTAACAGAGAATATCAAAGATCTGTCATCAACACCTAATTCTCCAAAAGAATTATTTTGTTGTTTGATATAAAGGGTAGAAGTAACCTAAACCAATCTGATAAGAAGTATTTTTATAATCAATATAAACTAATGCTAAAATACATTTCATTCAACAGTACTTCAACAAAATATTTTTGATATATAGAGCATGCCTTAATAAGCAGTCTGGGGGATCTCATTCAAAATTTGTAAGATCACGAAAAATAATTGAATTAAATTGGATTAAAAAATTACAGACAGTCTATCCTCTCGGTCTTAATGACAATATCATGGGAATTGGTAATACATCTAGAACAGATTCTGTTAACATTTTGTGATAAAGATTCTAAAACTATTTCGTAATAACAATACAAATATTTTGGACCTAATTTCTATTTCAAATCAAAGCACCAAGGGCGCTATAGGCAGTTAATTAAAAAACCAAAGGCAAACTTGGCAGAAGTTCAGATGAATATAGTGGAAGAATTAGTGGAAATATTTATCTCAGGCATTATTCTCAGCTATTTCTGAAGTATCAAATAATGTTTGTACAGAAATGTGTACGCTATCCAATTCCACCACTTTCAAAAGTTATTTCCAATTTATATTTTTAAAGATTCAGTCTTAGATTATGCACATACACTGTCCCATGTTAGGGGAGAATTTTGTGCCAGCTAACATGTTTAAGCCGCCACATTCTGCATGTACCTGTCCATAGTGAGGACCCACTAATTTGGTGATTGTTGCTGTATATCATATTTATTTTTTATAATTGTTTTGTACATAAATCAGGATGCTTCAGTTTTATTGTTTTACATTTGTCAATTCATGGTCGTTTATAGCTTACTATGCAGTATAGGTTTTGCTAATTGTTGCAGGCTGCATGGAGGAATATTCTTATCTGAATAATAATTTTGATAATGGTGTCCAACAGTGGTGTATATATGGTTTAATTCCACTTTGTATGTACTAGAGTTTGAATATGCCATATTAGCGGTTTTAGTTGGATCAGCTGGTGCCACTAGTACTATGCACAATTATCAAATCATACCTGAAACTATCTGAAGTGGTGTTATTTTCTTGTATATTATATTACAATACATGCTTATGTTGTTAAAATGGCCTAGCAATGATGCAACATATGTTTTAGAAGGCTATACGGTTGCCTATAATTGCTTACATCCACTTCATTTGAATTTTTGTGGATAGTTGTCTCATTGGCAATCATTCCTCATCTTCTTATTTTTATAATAATTGTACATGTCTAATCTATAATAAGCTGTTCACACAGAGACATGTTTTGCCTATTTGTTGTTTTGATAATACAAATATTGCAATTAAAAAAGGCATACTTTAACGTGTAAAATATATTCAAAGACAATGAACCATGACTGATGGTACAGGGCTGAACAATCTCCATGCGAATGAGATGTGCCAATGTTTATACAACTGCTTACCAAATACCATTGACTTTTCATAAGTCGTTCCCTTTAAACAAACCTTAACACAACTTCAATTTCTAAGTCAATGAACCATAATGAGGAGGTGGGGTTAAATAATATCCATGGAAATGAACCTTTTAAATACCAATACGTTTGCATACCAAATAGCTTTGACTTAAGATTACTGGTAATATTAAACTGACATCATCATAATACCTAATCACAAACTAATTCATGTAAACTAAATAAAAGTTTCAAAATCAATAGATCATGCATATGACTGACGAGTACGGACCAAATATCCGCTATGGAAATGAGACATACTAATGCTTCTTCACCTGCATGCCAATTATCATTGACCTACCACTATTGGTTTCCCTAATACTAACCTAATCAAAAGCTAATAAATGAATTTTCAAAGTAACATAAGGTTCCAAGTAAAGAGAGCATGATTGATGGGGCGGGCCAAATAATATCAATGGAAATTAGAAATGACAAAGTTTATACAACTGCACACCAAATAGCATTGACCTAATACTATTGGTTCCCCCTAAAATGACCTAATCACAAACTTATACATATGTAAACTATGCAAAAGTTTCAAAGTCAATAGACCATGACTAAGGGTGTGGGGCCAAATATTCTCCATGGTAATGAAATGTGCCTATGCTTACACAACTGCTTACCAAATATCATTGACCTACCATAACCTAGACCTTATCACAAAATCACAAACTAATACATTGTTGATGCCGCCAAAACAGCATGCCTATATATATAGATGTCTCTCTTTTCGACTCTGTCAAGGCAAGACAAAAATTGCAACAAAATTAATACAAATATTTGGCCATCTTTTTTTAATAATTTTATATTCCTCATTTCTTAGATATATAAATGCTGTGTTCACACATAATTCCAATTCGATTCGCATTAACTGATTTGAATTTATAGTTTAATACCCATTCGAAAAGTTTAACATGTTTAATGTCCAAATGTAAATTCTACTTCAAATTGCAATACGCGTCAAAATCGCTTTACTGTCAAAATGACGTTAACTTTTAATTCAAGAGAGGGACGAAAGATACCAGAGGGACAGTCGAACTCATAGATCGAAAACAAACCGACAACGCCATGGCCAAAAATAAAAAGACAAACAGACAAATAATAGTACAGATGACACAACATAGAAAACCAAAAACTAAGCAACACGAACCCCACCAAAAACTGGGGGGTGATCTCAGGTGCTCCGGAAGGGTAAGCAGATCCTGCTCCACATGTGATTTATGAATTAATCTATTATAGTTTAATTTGAATTACAATTTGGAAAGTGTTCACACCAAAGTTTGATCGAATTAACCCAAAAAGGTATTTCTAATGAGATTTGAATAATGCAAATTAGCTTATTTGAATTAGATTCGAATTAAAAAAAGATGAATGTGTGAACGCGATTAGTGAATTCGATTCGCATTATATTTGAATTCGCTTCAAAATGAAAAAAAGAATATTGTGTGAAATTGGTTTGCATTCAATTCAAATTAAACTTACGTTTGAACAAGGCATTAAACAAGTGACAAATATGCATTCAGTAAATAATAAAATTGAAAAGAATCCACAATCAAAATACTGCTGCGTAATTATAGTAATAAGTAATTCTCCTTGGTACAATTTAACCCTACTCTTGGATTGTTAAGAATACAAACTAAAATATTTCATGTTTCTGCACAATGCATCAATATCATGAATTCCAACTATCTTTATATAACTTCATGCAAAATGTTTTGGATTACTAGGCATACTTCTTAGTGCACAATAATAAAAATTGCTAGACCGATAAGCGCACTTAATAATGAAAGAACCTTAGTGAGCGCGCTCACATACCCCACGTTCCCACATTGTCATTAGAGAAATAAAATAAGTGTAAGAAAACAAAATTGTATCAGAAAAAAAAATTGAATCATAATTTCCTGTCAATATGCACATCTACATAGTATGTCCTTATTATCTACACAGTTTCATGAAATTCTGTTGTGTGGTTTGAGAGGAGTTGCGATGACAAAAGGTTGCAGTAGTATATTGGGCAAATAAGTTCAAAGGGGCGTAACTCCTATAAAATAAATTGAATCGTATTTCCTGTCGATATGCACATCTACGTAGTATGTCCTTATTATCTGAAAAGGTTTCATGAAATATGTTGTGTGGTTTGAGAGGAGTTGCGATGACAAAAGGTTGCAGTAGTACATTAAAGTAAATAAGTTCAAAGGGGCGTAACTCCTGGGAAAAAAATTGAATCGTATTTCCTGTCGATATGCACATCTACGTAGTATGTCCTTATTATCTGAAAAGGTTTCATGAAATTCTGTTGTGTGGTTTGAGAGGAGTTGCGATGACAAAAGGTTGCAGTAGTATATTGGGCAAATATGTTCAAAGGGGCGTAACTCCTGGAAAAAAAATTGAATCGTAATTTCCTGTCGATATGCACATCTACGTAGTATGTCCTTATTATCTGAAAAGGTTTCATGAAATTCTGTTGTGTGGTTTGAGAGGAGTTGCGATGACAAAAGGTTGCAGTAGTATATTGGGCAAATAAGTTCAAAGGGGCGTAACTCCTGGAAAAAAATTGAATCGTAATTTCCTGTCGATATGCACATCTACGTAGTATGTCCTTATTATCTGAAAAGGTTTCATGAAATTCTGTTGTGTGGTTTGAGAGGAGTTGCGATGACAAAAGGTTGCAGTAGTATATTGGGCAAATAAGTTCAAAGGGGCGTAACTCCTGGAAAAAAATTAATTCGTAATTTCCTGTCGATATGCACATCTACGTAGTATGTCCTTATTATCTGAAAAGGTTTCATGAAATTCTGTTGTGTGGTTTGAGAGGAGTTGCGATGACAAACTGTTGCAGTAGTACATTAAAGTAAATAAGTTCAAAGGGGAGTAACTCCTAGAAAAATAATTGAATCGTAATTTCCTGTCGATATGCACAACTACGTAGTTTGTCCTTATTATCTAAAAAGGTTTCGTGAAATTCTGTTGTGTGGTTTGAGAGGAGTTGCGATGACAAGAAACAGGACTGACGGACGGACAGACGGACGGACGGACGAACAGACAGACGGACGGACAGACGGACGGACGGGTCAAAAACATTACACCCTCCGCAACTCGTTGCGTGGGGTATAATAACTAATATTCATGTGTTGTTACTGCTGGCAAATTTATAATTATTCCTGTCAGAAAGCTGAACCAAAACTTGTCGGACTAGTCGACATGATGAGACCTGGCATAACCTGTCTTCAACATTGATCATATATGTAGATATACATGTACATAACATCATAGTAGTCTAGAGTTTCATTGCTGTTATGGAATTATATATTGTAGATAATCCAGGTGCTACAGAGAATCATGTATTGTACATGTACATGTATGCCTTGCCTCTTCTAGTATTAGCCATTGCCAAAGGTTGGAATCAAGCTGAAACAGAAACAGAAACAAATACAAATAGGTATAATATTGCTTATTTTGACAAATACAATGTAGCAAAAAAACTTCATGTCTAAAATCTTTACGTATTAGCTTTGTCCATTTTCATTGATGCTGTGATAATTAATGTTTATATTCTCTGGGGTCCCAAGTCAGGAGCCCCTGGCCTTTGTTAGTGTTGTATGATTTTTAATTTTAATTTCTTGTGTATATTTCTGATTTTAGTATGAAGTCCATTATCACTGAACTAGTATACATGTTTGTTAAGGGGCCTACTGAAGCAAGCCTCAGGGTGTGGGAGTTTCTCGCTGCATTGAAGATCCATTGGTAACCTTCGGCTGGTGTCTGCTCTTTGATCGGGTTGTTGTCTTTTTAACACATTCCCTATTCTAAATTTTATTTAAAATTATAAGTGAATTAAAATATCTTGATTACGGTTTCACTGTCTTCCATTATTAATATCATAATAAAAAAAACCCATTTATTTGACATTTAAATAACTGTAATAGGAATTAAGAAAAAAAATGTTTGTAACTTCAACTTGTTGACAACGTTAACGTTACCTTCTGTTCTTATCATGCGATTTCTTTTTGCAGTATTTTCATGGAAAAGTCGAATAGAAATGATTCTAGAACACTTCATGAGTGTTTAAATATGAAAAAATTCATAATAAGAAACATCGAAAAAGTTGTATTTGGCCACAGACCACAATTAAATTCTCTATTAGTTCTTTATAACGTTTTGTTTCATTAAAAAAAATGCTCCGGTTCTTTTTGTCAAATATTTTGTGTGTGTAAAGTACAGTACTAGTCCAAACATATATCAAACATTCAGAAATATCGCTCCCCAGCATCTTACAAATTTAGCCAATACACATCCATACCCCTATGGACAAGTCAAGAGATGTTCCGAAAACTGTAAATATCACCTTTTTGCACCTGGCCTAATTACTCTTTCCATATCAAAATCAGTTAAAATACAACATCCAAAAGTTTATTTCACCTCTCTTCTTTCATTTCCATCCAAAAAAATCTAAGAAATGAGTGAGGAAGGGAAAGAAAAAAAATTAAGAAAAAATACACTCTAATTAAAAGGAACTATATTCGTGGACAACGAAAAGCCGGATCATTAATTGTGGTCTTTGGCCTATTAGGGGTCTAAACCTTGACCAATTCTAATAAAACTTGGTATGATTTAAGCTTAGTATATTATGAAACAGTTTACAAAGTTTCAAAGCCATATGATACCAATTATAAAAATTGTGGCATTTTTTATATCTGAACTTTGGGTGCTGAATTGTGGCGTTGAATTAGAATAATTTCAACTATCAAATTTGGGCTTCTAAAAACCAAAATATACCAAAACTTACACTTTTTAATGTCTCTATGTATAAGTTATCACCTATTAAAAGCAACAGATAGCATACTTCATATTTCAGACTTATAAAAAATGGCCAGAAGTAAATATCATATGGGCCTGTGCCAAAAAATAGAGGTTTTCAAATGAAGTGAGGCCTTATATGCAATGTAATATTTTTCACTTACCACAATTTTCTGAAGTTGCTAAGTTATAAAAAAACCTTTTACATGTTATAAATGTACTTTTAATGGAAATATAAGTTTCAAATAGCATAACACATGTGAATAAAATGGTCTTCAGCAATGTCAAGCTTAAAAAAACAGGTTGTCCATTTAGGTCGTTCCCCACATTTGCATATTAAAAAGCATATAAATGATATGGGAGATGAAGATATGCTTCTTTTTGCTCAAATCTTTGCTCAGATATGATAAAACATGGAGCCTGGATGTAACAAGACTGTCACTTTCAACTATATATGTAGACAGTATGATCTAATGCAAAGTTATTTACTTTACCTTTTAAAACCGGCATGAAATTTCAGCCTCAAAAGGCCAATATTTTAACCACTAGCTATCAAACAAAAGAAAATGAAGGTAGTCTGTGAAACAGACAAGGTCAAACAACCAGTAATAAGTGCTTTTGATACAGTTTCAGTGAAATCTGCTAAAAGGAATTCAACTTGTATGTGCATAGAACCTCATTTTTCACTTGCTTCATACTGACCGTTAGACTAGGACCATTAAAGCAGCACATTTTGCACTCTTATTCTGATTTTATCTACTTTTTTTGTATGTTTAGTGTTCAAAAATGAGTTAAACATCTACATTAGATACCACAAACACAAGTAGAAAATCAAGAAAAACCTGTGAGAGAGAAAGTAAGCATGCTACTTTTGTAAAAATATTGAAACAACTGAAAAAGTTCAATTTTGGGCATGTAGGCTGAAATGTCACTTTTTTACAAAATTTCTATCAAATAAAAGTGGAAATCATTTATTCTCATGTAGTTTGACAAATTAATACCAATAGATCATTCAGGGAAGTTGTCAAAGTACAAATTCAATATTTCCTGAATTTCACCTCTTAGGGGTCTAAACCTTGACCAATTCTAATAAAACTTGGTATGATTTAAGCTTAGTATATTATGAAACAGTTTACAAAGTTTCAAAGCCATATGATACCAATTATAAAAATTGTGGCATTTTTTATATCTGAACTTTGGGTGCTTAATTGTGGCGTTGAATTAGAATAATTTCAACTATCAAATTTGGGCTTCTAAAAACCAAAATATACCAAAACTTACACTTTTTAATGTCTCTATGTATAAGTTATCACCTATTAAAAGCAACAGATAGCATACTTCATATTTCAGACTTATAAAAAATGGCCAGAAGTAAATATCATATGGGCCTGTGCCAAAAAATAGAGGTTTTCAAATGAAGTGAGGCCTTATATGCAATGTAATATTTTTCACTTACCACAATTTTCTGAAGTTGCTAAGTTATAAAAAAACCTTTTACATGTTATAAATGTACTTTTAATGGAAATATAAGTTTCAAATAGCATAACACATGTGAATAAAATGGTCTTCAGCAATGTCAAGCTTAAAAAAACAGGTTGTCAATTTAGGTCGTTCCCCACATTTGCATATTAAAAAGCATATAAATGAAATGGGAGATGAAGATATGCTTCTTTTTGCTCAAATCTTTGCTCAGATATGATAAAACATGGAGCCTGGATGTAACAAGACTGTCACTTTCAACTATATATGTAGACAGTATGATCTAATGCAAAGTTATTTACTTTACCTTTTAAAACCGGCATGAAATTTCAGCCTCAAAAGGCCAATATTTTAACCACTAGCTATCAAACAAAAGAAAATGAAGGTAGTCTGTGAAACAGACAAGGTCAAACAACCAGTAATAAGTGCTTTTGATACAGTTTCAGTGAAATCTGCTAAAAGGAATTCAACTTGTATGTGCATAGAACCTCATTTTTCACTTGCTTCATACTGACCGTTAGACTAGGACCATTAAAGCAGCACATTTTGCACTCTTATTCTGATTTTATCTACTTTTTTTGTATGTTTAGTGTTCAAAAATGAGTTAAACATCTACATTAGATACCACAAACACAAGTAGAAAATCAAGAAAAACCTGTGAGAGAGAAAGTAAGCATGCTACTTTTGTAAAAATATTGAAACAACTGAAAAAGTTCAATTTTGGGCATGTAGGCTGAAATGTCACTTTTTTACAAAATTTCTATCAAATAAAAGTGGAAATCATTTATTCTCATGTAGTTTGACAAATTAATACCAATAGATCATTCAGGGAAGTTGTCAAAGTACAAATTCAATATTTCCTGAATTTCACCTCTTAGGGGTCTAAACCTTGACCAATTCTAATAAAACTTGGTATGATTTAAGCTTAGTATATTATGAAACAGTTTACAAAGTTTCAAAGCCATATGATACCAATTATAAAAATTGTGGCATTTTTTATATCTGAACTTTGGGTGCCGAATTGTGGCGTTGAATTAGAATAATTTCAACTATCAAATTTGGGCTTCTAAAAACCAAAATGTACCAAAACTTACACTTTTTAATGTCTCTATGTATAAGTTATCACCTATTAAAAGCAACAGATAGCATACTTCATGTTTCAGACTTATAAAAAATGGCCAGAAGTAAATATCATATGGGCCTGTGCCAAAAAATAGAGGTTTTCAAATGAAGTGAGGCCTTATATGCAATGTAATATTTTTCACTTACCACAATTTTCTGAAGTTGCTAAGTTATAAAAAAACCTTTTACATGTTATAAATGTACTTTTAATGGAAATATAAGTTTCAAATAGCATAACACATGTGAATAAAATGGTCTTCAGCAATGTCAAGCTTAAAAAAACAGGTTGTCAATTTAGGTCGTTCCCCACATTTGCATATTAAAAAGCATATAAATGATATGGGAGATGAAGATATGCTTCTTTTTGCTCAAATCTTTGCTCAGATATGATAAAACATGGAGCCTGGATGTAACAAGACTGTCACTTTCAACTATATATGTAGACAGTATGATCTAATGCAAAGTTATTTACTTTACTTTTTAAAACCGGCATGAAATTTCAGCCTCAAAAGGCCAATATTTTAACCACTAGCTATCAAACAAAAGAAAATAAAGGTAGTCTGTGAAACAGACAAGGTCAAACAACCAGTAATAAGTGCTTTTGATACAGTTTCAGTGAAATCTGCTAAAAGGAATTCAACTTGTATGTGCATAGAACCTCATTTTTCACTTGCTTCATACTGACCGTTAGACTAGGACCATTAAAGCAGCACATTTTGCACTCTTATTCTGATTTTATCTACTTTTTTTGTATGTTTAGTGTTCAAAAATGAGTTAAACATCTACATTAGATACCACAAACACAAGTAGAAAATCAAGAAAAACCTGTGAGAGAGAAAGTAAGCATGCTACTTTTGTAAAATATTGAAACAACTGAAAAAGTTCAATTTTGGGCATGTAGGCTGAAATGTCACTTTTTTACAAAATTTCTATCAAATAAAAGTGGAAATCATTTATTCTCATGTAGTTTGACAAATTAATACCAATAGATCATTCAGGGAAGTTGTCAAAGTACAAATTCAATATTTCCTGAATTTCACCTATTAGGGGTCTAAACCTTGACCAATTCTAATAAAACTTGGTATGATTTAAGCTTAGTATATTATGAAACAGTTTACAAAGTTTCAAAGCCATATGATACCAATTATAAAAATTGTGGCATTTTTTATATCTGAACTTTGGGTGCTGAATTGTGGCGTTGAATTAGAATAATTTCAACTATCAAATTTGGGCTTCTAAAAACCAAAATGTACCAAAACTTACACTTTTTAATGTCTCTATGTATAAGTTATCACCTATTAAAAGCAACAGATAGCATACTTCATGTTTCAGACTTATAAAAAATGGCCAGAAGTAAATATCATATGGGCCTGTGCCAAAAAATAGAGGTTTTCAAATGAAGTGAGGCCTTATATGCAATGTAATATTTTTCACTTACCACAATTTTCTGAAGTTGCTAAGTTATAAAAAAACCTTTTACATGTTATAAATGTACTTTTAATGGAAATATAAGTTTCAAATAGCATAACACATGTGAATAAAATGGTCTTCAGCAATGTCAAGCTTAAAAAAACAGGTTGTCAATTTAGGTCGTTCCCCACATTTGCATATTAAAAAGCATATAAATGATATGGGAGATGAAGATATGCTTCTTTTTGCTCAAATCTTTGCTCAGATATGATAAAACATGGAGCCTGGATGTAACAAGACTGTCACTTTCAACTATATATGTAGACAGTATGATCTAATGCAAAGTTATTTACTTTACTTTTTAAAACCAGCATGAAATTTCAGCCTCAAAAGGCCAATATTTTAACCACTAGCTATCAAACAAAAGAAAATAAAGGTAGTCTGTGAAACAGACAAGGTCAAACAACCAGTAATAAGTGCTTTTGATACAGTTTCAGTGAAATCTGCTAAAAGGAATTCAACTTGTATGTGCATAGAACCTCATTTTTCACTTGCTTCATACTGACCGTTAGACTAGGACCATTAAAGCAGCACATTTTGCACTCTTATTCTGATTTTATCTACTTTTTTTGTATGTTTAGTGTTCAAAAATGAGTTAAACATCTACATTAGATACCACAAACACAAGTAGAAAATCAAGAAAAACCTGTGAGAGAGAAAGTAAGCATGCTACTTTTGTAAAAATATTGAAACAACTGAAAAAGTTCAATTTTGTACTTTTAATGGAAATATAAGTTTCAAATAGCATAATACATGTGAATAAAATGGTCTTCAGCAATGTCAAGCTTAAAAAAAACAGGTTGTCAATTTAGGTCGTTCCCCACATTTGCATATTAAAAAGCATATAAATGATATGGGAGATGAAGATATGCTTCTTTTTGCTCAAATCTTTGCTCAGATATGATAAAACATGGAGCCTGGATGTAACAAGACTGTCACTTTCAACTATATATGTAGACAGTATGATCTAATGCAAAGTTATTTACTTTACTTTTTAAAACCGGCATGAAATTTCAGCCTCAAAAGGCCAATATTTTAACCACTAGCTATCAAACAAAAGAAAATAAAGGTAGTCTGTGAAACAGACAAGGTCAAACAACCAGTAATAAGTGCTTTTGATACAGTTTCAGTGAAATCTGCTAAAAGGAATTCAACTTATATGTGCATAGAACCTCATTTTTCACTTGCTTCATACTGACCGTTAGACTAGGACCATTAAAGCAGCACATTTTGCACTCTTATTCTGATTTTATCTACTTTTTTTGTATGTTTAGTGTTCAAAAATGAGTTAAACATCTACATTAGATACCACAAACACAAGTAGAAAATCAAGAAAAACCTGTGAGAGAGAAAGTAAGCATGCTACTTTTGTAAAAATATTGAAACAACTGAAAAAGTTCAATTTTGGGCATGTAGGCTGAAATGTCACTTTTTTACAAAATTTCTATCAAATAAAAGTGGAAATCATTTATTCTCATGTAGTTTGACAAATTAATACCAATAGATCATTCAGGGAAGTTGTCAAAGTACAAATTCAATATTTCCTGAATTTCACCTCTTAGGGGTCTAAACCTTGACCAATTCTAATAAAACTTGGTATGATTTAAGCTTAGTATATTATGAAACAGTTTACAAAGATTCAAAGCCATATGATACCAATTATAAAAATTGTGGCATTTTTTATATCTGAACTTTGGGTGCTGAATTGTGGCGTTGAATTAGAATAATTTCAACTATCAAATTTGGGCTTCTAAAAACCAAAATGTACCAAAACTTACACTTTTTAATGTCTCTATGTATAAGTTATCACCTATTAAAAGCAACAGATAGCATACTTCATGTTTCAGACTTATAAAAAATGGCCAGAAGTAAATATCATATGGGCCTGTGCCAAAAAATAGAGGTTTTCAAATGAAGTGAGGCCTTATATGCAATGTAATATTTTTCACTTACCACAATTTTCTGAAGTTGCTAAGTTATAAAAAAACCTTTTACATGTTATAAATGTACTTTTAATGGAAATATAAGTTTCAAATAGCATAACACATGTGAATAAAATGGTCTTCAGCAATGTCAAGCTTAAAAAAACAGGTTGTCAATTTAGGTCGTTCCCCACATTTGCATATTAAAAAGCATATAAATGATATGGGAGATGAAGATATGCTTCTTTTTGCTCAAATCTTTGCTCAGATATGATAAAACATGGAGCCTGGATGTAACAAGACTGTCACTTTCAACTATATATGTAGACAGTATGATCTAATGCAAAGTTATTTACTTTACTTTTTAAAACCGGCATGAAATTTCAGCCTCAAAAGGCCAATATTTTAACCACTAGCTATCAAACAAAAGAAAATAAAGGTAGTGTGTGAAACAGACAAGGTCAAACAACCAGTAATAAGTGCTTTTGATACAGTTTCAGTGAAATCTGCTAAAAGGAATTCAACTTGTATGTGCATAGAACCTCATTTTTCACTTGCTTCATACTGACCGTTAGACTAGGACCATTAAAGCAGCACATTTTGCACTCTTATTCTGATTTTATCTACTTTTTTTGTATGTTTAGTGTTCAAAAATGAGTTAAACATCTACATTAGATACCACAAACACAAGTAGAAAATCAAGAAAAACCTGTGAGAGAGAAAGTAAGCATGCTACTTTTGTAAAAATATTGAAACAACTGAAAAAGTTCAATTTTGGGCATGTAGGCTGAAATGTCACTTTTTTACAAAATTTCTATCAAATAAAGTGGAAATCATTAATTCTCATGTAGTTTGACAAATTAATACCAATAGATCATTCAGGGAAGTTGTCAAAGTACAAATTCAATATTTCCTGAATTTCACCTCTTAGGGGTCTAAACCTTGACCAATTCTAATAAAACTTGGTATGATTTAAGCTTAGTATATTATGAAACAGTTTACAAAGTTTCAAAGCCATATGATACCAATTATAAAAATTGTGGCATTTTTTATATCTGAACTTTGGGTGCTGAATTGTGGCGTTGAATTAGAATAATTTCAACTATCAAATTTGGGCTTCTAAAAACCAAAATGTACCAAAACTTACACTTTTTAATGTCTCTATGTATAAGTTATCACCTATTAAAAGCAACAGATAGCATACTTCATGTTTCAGACTTATAAAAAATGGCCAGAAGTAAATATCATATGGGCCTGTGCCAAAAAATAGAGGTTTTCAAATGAAGTGAGGCCTTATATGCAATGTAATATTTTTCACTTACCACAATTTTCTGAAGTTGCTAAGTTATAAAAAAACCTTTTACATGTTATAAATGTACTTTTAATGGAAATATAAGTTTCAAATAGCATAACACATGTGAATAAAATGGTCTTCAGCAATGTCAAGCTTAAAAAAACAGGTTGTCAATTTAGGTCGTTCCCCACATTTGCATATTAAAAAGCATATAAATGATATGGGAGATGAAGATATGCTTCTTTTTGCTCAAATCTTTGCTCAGATATGATAAAACATGGAGCCTGGATGTAACAAGACTGTCACTTTCAACTATATATGTAGACAGTATGATCTAATGCAAAGTTATTTACTTTACTTTTTAAAACCAGCATGAAATTTCAGCCTCAAAAGGCCAATATTTTAACCACTAGCTATCAAACAAAAGAAAATAAAGGTAGTGTGTGAAACAGACAAGGTCAAACAACCAGTAATAAGTGCTTTTGATACAGTTTCAGTGAAATCTGCTAAAAGGAATTCAACTTGTATGTGCATAGAACCTCATTTTTCACTTGCTTCATACTGACCGTTAGACTAGGACCATTAAAGCAGCACATATTGCACTCTTATTCTGATTTTATCTACTTTTTTTGTATGTTTAGTGTTCAAAAATGAGTTAAACATCTACATTAGATACCACAAACACAAGTAGAAAATCAAGAAAAACCTGTGAGAGAGAAAGTAAGCATGCTACTTTTGTAAAAATATTGAAACAACTGAAAAAGTTCAATTTTGGGCATGTAGGCTGAAATGTCACTTTTTTTACAAAATTTCTATCAAATAAAAGTGGAAATCATTTATTCTCATGTAGTTTGACAAATTAATACCAATAGATCATTCAGGGAAGTTGTCAAAGTACAAATTCAATATTTCCTGAATTTCACCTCTTAGGCCACAGACCACAATTAAATTCTCTATTAGTTCTTTATAACGTTTTGTTTCATTAAAAAAAATGCTCCGGTTCTTTTTGTCAAATATTTTGTGTGTGTAAAGTACAGTACTAGTCCAAACATATATCAAACATTCAGAAATATCGCTCCCCAGCATCTTACAAATTTAGCCAATACACATCCATACCCCTATGGACAAGTCAAGAGATGTTCCGAAAACTGTAAATATCACCTTTTTGCACCTGGCCTAATTACTCTTTCCATATCAAAATCAGTTAAAATACAACATCCAAAAGTTTATTTCACCTCTCTTCTTTCATTTCCATCCAAAAAAATCTAAGAAATGAGTGAGGAAGGGAAAGAAAAAAAATTAAGAAAAAATACACTCTAATTAAAAGGAACTATATTCGTGGACAACGAAAAGCGGGATCATTAATTGTGGTCTTTGGCCATTTTTCAATACAGGAAATCGAAAAGTCCTTGTAAATCAAAAACAATTACGGTGTGAGACGCGTCACAAATTCGGACTTAATATTTTACATAAATATGCGACTTTGGAAGTTCCTTTAGAAAATAATTGTTAAAGTTTTAATCTCAATATTATTTGAAGCACATTGAGCTAAATCAAAGCATGTGTAGCAGTCTGTAACACCAAAGCCTGAACTAAAAACACAAAGGAAACCATCTTGAAATGACCTTGACATCGACCAATCAGATCTCTAGTTTTATTTCATTCAATAACAATAACAACAACTTGATTTGACAAGCATTAAGCCCATGATAAACGGAATAGTGTTAACAAGAAAACAAATGAGCATACATTTAATTAAGATGATTTAAATAATCACAATCATCTCAGACAAAAACGAATAAAATGATTAATATTAATTACCTTCGTATTATCTGAATCCACCAAATTTAGAAAGTCCTTGATTTACGTTTTGTCGACGAAGTTAAAATTACCGCCAACTGAGACTTAACACCGTGTCATATTAGTCACAGCCGTTATACAATATTCCTGCGCTTTTTGCAATTTGGCAAATGTAAACGACTTGTAATTAGAGATTTTCGGCGATTAAATATTTCATACAATTGTTCTTTGACATCTTAGCCAAAAGCACAGGGGATAATAATCTACATAAGGGTTTCAAGCGAGCACTACTTTCTATGTGCAACTTCAAAACTTTTGGGTGGTTCGACGATCATTTAAGGTTTTTCTGGTCATATTTTTTGTATTCCAGAATAAAAAGTATGAAAAAAGTGTTCAATTAGTTATAAATAACATAATAGCCAGCCAGATAATAACAGTGGCACATATTTCAGGATTTATTGGGTAGAACACAAATCTAGGGTGCTCGCATAAAGCAGCTTAACTGCTTAAAAAACAACAGTAGACATTATCTATTAACCAAGCTCTGTTCGTTACCTGTTAATAAATTACATCAAATTTTGGAGGAATGCAACAAAATTCCATATTGCAGTCCTAAGTATGAAATCGTCCAAATTATAATTGCATATTGTTATTCTAAATTGTTTCCAAAAATTGATCGCCCTGAAGACCTGTTTCTGTATTGTTATGAGTTACAATTTATGACTAAAATCAGCAAAGACCCATCGAAACAACATCTGATTCAAAAATTTAATAACACTTTTAGATATTTAGACGATATATTGGCTCTCAATAATGACGACTTCAGTATGTACACTAAAGAGATTTATCCTGCGGAACTGACTTTAAATAAAGCTAATACTGAAAATGAACACTTCCCTTTCCTGGATCTTGATATCTATATCTTTAACAGGAAGCTTAATACCAAAATTTATGATAAAAGACATGATTTTTCATTTCCAATTTTAATTATCCATTTTTAGATGGTGACGTTCCCTTGTCACCATCTTATGGTGTTTATATATCTCAACTTGTTCGATTCGTGTATGTAACACCGTATTTGATTTTAACGAAAGAAATCTCTGTATTACTGAAAAATTATTACACCAGGGTTTTCGATATCACAAACTAGACAAAATATTTACTAAATTTTATCATCGGTACAAGGACATCATTCGTAAATATAAATCAACATGCAGACATCTTATACGTTCAGGTATTACACATCCAATATTTTATGGTAATATTCTTTATATTACAAAGCGCAAAAATGTCGGCATTCACCTCAAAAGCTAACCAAACCTTCAAACAGACTTATTCCGGAGGGATATAGTTATGATACTGTTGTCAGGTCATTAAGGATTGCATATTTTGGTATTAATATTGATTCACTCATAGGGTCTTTGCATGGGAAATAAACACATTTATTCTAAAACCAGTTGTTGGCATGATACGGGTTATGTTCTTCTCATATATTTTATGATGGTATGATACTAAACTTCTAACTGGAGGGATTGTACCTGATTTTCATATGATGAAGACATAATCTTTCAATCAGTTTAATTGAGGTCTGGAGCTGGCATGTCAGTAACTGCTAGTAGTCCTTTGTTAATTTATGTATCATTGTCATTTTGCTTAGTTTCTTTTGTTACCTATTCTGACATCGGACACAGACTTCTTTTAAACTGAGTTTTACTGTGCATATTGCTATGTGTTTCTTTATTCTACATTGGCTAGAGGTATAGGGGGAGGGTTGGGATCTTACAAAACATGTTTAACCCCGCCGCATTTTTGTGCCTGTCCTTAGTCAGGAGCCTCTGGCCTTTGTTAGTCTTGTATGTTTTTTTTAATTTTAGTTCCTTTATATGTTTTTGAGTTTAGTGTGATGTCCATTTTCACTCAACCAGTACACAATTTTATTTAGGGGCCAGCTGAGGACCACCTCCAGGTGTGGGATTTTCTCGCTGCGTTGAAGACCTATTGGTGGCCGTCGGCTGTTATCTGCTCTTTGACATATTCCCCATTTCCATTTTCAATTTTACTCATTACAAAATTACACCAGTATACATTTAATAGAGATAAACAATTTTCCACTAGTAGAGGTCCTTACCAAAATCACAAAACATTGAAATTACACTTGATCATAAACTTAAAGTGCTATTTTTAACATTTTTGAAAATAGAAATCACTGAATTATTTTTTTCTACATCAATTTTCTTCATTTTGAAATCAGAAATTCAAGAAAATTTGTATCAACAAAATTAAAAGAATCCACATTACTCATTTTTATAACCTCATAAGAAGGGCTATGATTTAGCAGCAATTATTTTTTGGGGTTTCTGATATTTAAAAACAACACTAAACATATCTCCCCCAAGTCTATTTGCCAACCAACGATTTTTTATCACAGCAACTTTCAAAGATTCACAACTAAATGCAGCATCAAAGTTTGTATGAATGGCTCTTCCCATTCCTTCTATCACTATTAAATCTGCCTCTTGTTTCTTCATCAATTCCACAAGTTCAAAATTAATCAATCTGAAAAAAAGAAGGTAAAATATAAATAAACAGCTAGTTTAGGGGCCAGCTGAGGACCACCTCCGGGTGCGGGATTTTCTCGCTGCATTGAAGACCCATTGGTGGCCTTCGGCTGTTGTCTGCTCTTTGGTCGGGTTGTTGTCTCTTTGACATATTCCCCATTTCCATTCTCAATTTTAGCTAGTACATTTGTACTTCTACATAATAGTTTTTTTACTTGAATTTTTATTAACTTTGCTATATTGAACACTTTTAAATTAATCATACAGTTCAGAGAATACTATATCTTCATATAGGATCTTAAATTTTTTACTACCAACTATTGGATTGCTTTTCTGAATAATTGTTTAACAAGGTTCTAGTTTTATCTTGTATTTCTATTATATGTTATGTTAAACTAGTCTATTTTGAGAATGCCTGTCTGACTTAGAACATTAAGTTGCTGTGAAGTAGCTGAGCATTACATTGCACAAGCTTGTGAATTCAATAACTATTCTGTAAGGGATCATTTTTCACTGACATTCCTGCAATAACCCTTCAATTTGCCGTTTCAGCATCAATGCATTCTGGGAGTTATTTTCAAAAGTATATACCAAAAACGCTCTGATTGGCCTACAACATCCAAAACAATTGAAATTCTACCAATGATGTGACATTGTTTTCCTTTTAGGGTACAAAAAATGAAAGTACCCATGGTCTTTAGATTTTGTACAGTTAAATTGCAATGTAATTTTTCAAATGACAAGTTCAACTATCATTAATGTTGCCAATTTTCTAACAGCAACTGTAACAGTTCTTGTCAATTTGAAAGATTTCCATACAACAAATGGGTTACTGCACTAATCCAAAAAAGGTTATACTGAGCATTTATGTTCTAAATGGAATATTAAACTGTAAAACAACAAAAATTACATATTGAAAGGCCTACTTTTCTATTTGACTTATTATTCACCTTAAATCAAGACAGGGTGATCCTTGCCCAGAGTCCATAACCATCAGTCTACCATCCTTATAGGCTGCCTGTATGTCTGGTGAAATTTCTGCTACTCTCTTTACAAGTATTAGAAGTTCACTATATATCACATCATTCAATGAAGGTCTCGAATTGGCACATAATATTACCTATAATATATTATTTAAATTCAATAACTTGAAAAATAAACAAACATGAATATATTCTAGAAACAAATAAATGGGGAATGTGTCCATAGGACACAGACGATGCCCCCGATTGCATATCATATAACGTTATAAAGGGACATAACTGAAGAACAGTAAAAGTGAAGCTACCCAAATTTGCACTTGATCTGAGTTTTGTGGTAATAAGTATTGTGTATAAGTTTCATAAAATTTGGTTGAGGCAAACTTAAGTTAAAGAACGGAAACGAAAAATTCAGCAATTTTTCTATTTGTAATGGGGCATAACTCTAGAATGGTTAAAGTGACACCCCCAATATTCAAATTTGATCTGTATTTTGTGGTAATAAGCATTGTGTATAAGTTTCATAACATTTAGTTGAGGCTAACTTAAGTTAGAGAACGGAAATGGAAAATTCAGCAATTTTTCCATTTGTAAAGGGGCATAACTCTAGAATGGTTAAAGTGACACCCCCAATATTCAAACTTGATCTGTGTTTTGTGGTAATAAGCATTGTGTATAAGTTTCATAACATTTGGTTGAGGCAAACTAAAGTTAGAGAACGGCAACCAACTTTGGGACGTACGTACATACGGACGTACAGACAGACAAGGGTAAAACTTTATGCCCCCTCCGCTATGGCATGGGCATAAAAATAAAGATTGCACTCAACTTTACCCTAGTAAACTTTTAAAGTAAAAATTACCTTTTTTTGCTAAAGGATTAGGTTCTTAAGAGTCCAAAATATGGCTTCTACTTCTAACTAAAGTTTCAAATTAAGATTTAATGGCCATAACCATAATGTAGCATTGCTAAAACAATGACTAGATAGAACAAGAGTGCACACGCTGAAATGTCTCGCCTCCTTTACTAACCATTGATTTTATGTTGATAGTCCTAAATATAAAGCTTTACTACAAGAAACACATAAACTTAACATGATCCAAGAAAATGAGGTCGAGGTCAGATAAACCAAACGAGAAATACATGTACACCTTACAATCATTCAATAAACCAAACATAGTTGACCTATTGCTTATACTTTCTAAGAAACAGTCTTAACCAAGAAAACTTAACATTGACCAATGAACCATGAAAACGAGGTCAAGGTCAGATGAACCATGCCAGACAGACATGTACACCTTACAATCAATTTATGCATTAAATATAGTTGACCTATTGCTTATAGTATCTAAGAAACAAACTTAACCATGAAAACTTAACATTGACCAATGAACCATGAAAATGAGGTCAAGGTCAGATGATACCTGCAATACAGACATATACACCTTACCATCCTTCCATACAACAAATATAGTTGATCTATTGCTTATAGTTGAAGAAAAACAGACCAAAACACAAAAACTTAACACTGAGAAATGAACCGTGAAAATGAGGTCAAGGTCAAATAAAACCTGCGAGACTGACATGTACATCATTAAATATTTCCATACACCAAATATAGTTGACCTATTGCATATAGTATTAGAAAAAAAGACCAAAACTCAAAAACTTTGACCACTGAACCATAAAAATGAGGTCAAGGTCAGATGACACCTACCAGTTGGACATATACACCTTATAATCATTCCATATACCAAATATAGTAGACCTACTGCTCATAGTATCTGATATATGGACTTGACCAAGAAAACTTAAAATTGTTCACTGATCCATGAAATGAGGTCGAGGTCAAATGAAAATTGTCTGACAGGCATGAGGACCTTGCAAGGTATGCACATACTAAATATAGTTATCCTATTACTCATAATAAGAAAGAAATTAACATTACAAAAAATCTTGACTTTTTTTTCAAGTAGTCACTGAACCATGAAAATGAGGTCAAGGACAATGGACATACGACAGACAGAAACTTCGTAACATAAGGTATCTATATACAAAGTATCAAGCATCCAGGTCTTCTAGCTTCTAAAATATAAAGCTTTTAAGAAGTTAGCCAATGCCGCTGCTGCCCCGTAGCCGGATCACTATCCCTATGTCAAGCTTTCTGCATGTTTTTTTTAACTTAAGTATCAGCATTCTTTTAGTATAAGTTTTAGCTTTCTACCTATCTCAATGAAAACATGCTAATTTCCATTGGTTTTTGGGATGGCTTATAGTGTAATTGCAAATTGTAAATGGTGTTATGGGGAATTCCAAATGGTGTAACTGGTGTCATGAGAAGTTATAAACAGTGTTAGTGGGAAGTTACAAAGATCACACATTTAAACCCTCACACTATTATTTCTAATAATCCTGTAAAACTTATGCATGGGTTTTTCTCATTGTTGAAGACTGTACTGTGACCTATGGTTATTAACTTCTATGTCATTTGGTCTCTGGTGGAGAGTTGTTTCATAGGCAATCATACCACACCTTTTAATTTTTATATTGAGATTTTTCAAAAATGCCTATTTTTCACTCAATAAAGGTTATTCATTCTGTAGCAACAAAATTGATAATTGAAAGGTTTACAGACCCTCAGACAAATATTCAGCAAATCAGTATCAAGCACATATGGTTTAGCACAAAACAATTAAAAAATCTTTGTTTTCACTTTATCTGACAAAAGTGCAATTCATGAAAAAAGTGTATAGAACATCAGATCACCAAATATTCCAAATACTTTGGCAAAGTTTAAAATAAAATGGTCAGGACATACAGTTGGTGACACATTAGCATATGATGACCAGAAAATGAACTACATTATTAGTCCAGTCATTAATATGTATATAAAAAGGTGAATGAAAAATCTGAAGGTCAAATACACCTAAACATACATTTGTCCCTCTCTTGAGCAGGCCCCTCACAAATGGAAATACTCCTAATATAATATCAGCACCACTATTGTCTACAAATATCACAGCACATTTATGTGGTTTATCTTGAAGTCTTTGATGCCATTCTTCATAATTATCACACAGCCAAGGTCGCTCTGAAATACAAGACTACATTCAACAGTTTGTGGCAGTAGTTTAAGCAAATGATACAATGAAAAGCAGAATTGCAAGGAGCAGTCTTTCACAAGATATCTATCATAAACTTAACCTTATCTAAGTTTTTTCCAAACTACTGATTGTACTTGATGATGGCTATTCCAAAATAAAATTGAGAATGGAAATGGGGAATGTGTCAAAGAGACAACAACCCACCCAAAGAGCAGAAAACAGCCGAAGGCCACCAATGGGTCTTCAACACAGCGAGAAAAAATCCCGCACCTAGAAAAACATGTTTAGTGTATAAATATAGAAATCATATAATTTTTTGCAACCATTTTGTCAGTATTGCTACTTTCAGACTATCAGTCCCTGAGGGACCCATTAAATCCAGTAGCCATTACTTTTGTATTGGTACTATTCAAATGATAAATTTTGTCTGTAAATTTAAATTTATACAGCTAAAGCTAAGTTGGAAATCATTCAGTCAGTTGACAGACCATTTTGACAGTTCCTTTTTAGCAATTTTGGTTTCTGTGGACTCTATTTCATATTTTTAGTCTCCAGCATACAAGCTGAAAGTTTATTCATAAACATGTGTTGCACGAAAGGAAATCGTAAATGTTTAACTGAGTATGGTGACAAAATATAGCTTGTGTATCACTTATGGTAACTGAGAAAATAATCTTTGAAGAGTATGTTTTAATAAACCATTAAAATAAGTAAAGTATTGGTATAGATTGATTGATTGTTGGTTGCTTAATGTCCAGTGGCAAATTATTGGTATAGAAAGTCTGACTTAGCATTCAATGAATATAATAACCAAATTTATTGTAGCATTAACTAATGGCAATCAGGAATATAACTTATAAGAATTGGTAAATAATGTAAGTACAATATGAAAATTTGGTGAAGTTCAAATAAAATCTATTGATTGATTTGTAGAGTTTTTGCTATTGAGCTACCTTGTAATTTGTCCTGAGCCTCTACAAAGCCAAAATCTTGATTTTCCATAATATTTACAACCTCTCTAGCTCCCCAGTCAAACACATTGCCTGCCAGCAGACCTTTAGCCAGAGACAACTGAAGCTCCTCCCATGATAATCCATCTAACTTATGTAGTAACTGAGGTAGGCACTTCAATGCTTGTTCATTCTCTGTCTGTTTCAACTACTTCAAAACAGGTAAACAGTAAGTACATAGTATAATATAGATTATTATATAATACAGATAAAAGGGGATGTGGGGTATACCTTAATAAGGCAGTAACTTAACAACACAAGTATAACAAGATAGACATTTCAATGTATTATCATGCAGCATTTGTTTTCTCTTTTTATAGAGAACGCAGAAGAATACAATGTGGTTCAATGGCTACAGCATATTCATTGTAAAAATACTAAAAAGCATTGTTCGTATATCCCTTGCCATATGGCGACAGTAATGAACACTTAATTGTGTAAAATACTGCTTGATTTAAGCAAATTTCAGCAATCAATAGTATAACTCCAGTTGGTATGCTCACACAATACTGTTAAGGTAGATGGGGGGTCTAAATTAAAATCGATAGACATTTTTTAATACTTTGCCAAAATGTAGTTTGTATCGTGATTTTTTCAAAAATATAATAAAAAGTATGGGCTTTTCATCAAGCTACAGGGTGTATAATATTGTCAGATTTTGTATAGATTATATATGAAAAACCCAATTTTGAATGATATAAAGAAAATTAAACAATAGAATTTTAAGATAAAATATGAGAAGATAGCTCTTATAATGTGCTTTCTGAAAATAAAAATAAAAAATGGGGTCACAGGTCTCGTTTTCTTGCTACAAAACAAAATAGGTAAATTCCTAATACATTCCTTTATAAAAGTAATATATTTGAGTTATCTCCCTTTATGTGGCAATGTTGAAAAAATTGAATCATACAAAACATTCTGTATTTGCAAGAACAGTGTTGAAAATAAGGTTAAACCAATAATTGTCTTCATTTAAATAAAAAGTCTTACAAATGAATTACATTCTTCTCTCAAAATTTACACATTTTATTTAATATCTAGACTGATTGTTTTCTGTTATTTCACAATCCAAGATGGCAGAAGACACACTATCTACCTTATCATAAACTGCTGACACAGAAATATGTCTTGCCTTTTTGTAATTTTGATAGCATTTAGGGAAATGAGAAATTCTAATGCTTATAAAACTGCATACCAAATACCATTGACTAATCATAAGTAGTTCCCTTTAAACTAACCCATTTACAAATTTGAACTTGTAAACTAAGCAAAAGTTTCAAAGTCAATTAACCATGATGATTTGGCAAGGTCATATATTCTCCTTGGAAATGAGACTTGAAAATGCTTTTACAACAGCATACCAAATATCATTGACTTAACATTAGTGTTTCACCTTAAACTGGTCTGTACACAAACTTTAAACATGTAAATTATGCAAAAGTTTCAAAGTCAATGAACCATGGTGAAGGTAGCAGGGCCAAAAAATCTCTAAGGAAATGAGATGTGCCAATGCTCATACAACTACATACCAAATATGATTGACATACCACAAGTGGTTCCCCATAAACTGATCTAATCTCAAACTAATACATGTTTACTAAGCAAAAGTTATAAAGTCAATAGACCATGACAGAGGGGAAGAGACCAAATAATCTCCATGGAAATAAGATGTACCAATGCTCATACAACTGCAAACTAATACATTGTTGACATCACTGGTGACATCAGAAACAGCACACCTAAATCTCACTTTTATGACTTTGTCGAACAAGACAAAAAATGAAGCTAGAATTCTGAAGGTTAGAGCACTTACCAGTGAATTTTACACATTACTCATATTTCAATTTAGAACTAAACACATTTTAAAAAAAAATTTATATGAAATGAAAGCAAGTTACTTTTACAAATTGCATGAAGCGAAGAAGTGCTTACTGCTACAATTTGATGGTCACTTACTTGCATTTGGAATAAATTTTGGAAAACATGGCATTCAATTCCTAAATTTACAGATTTTTAAAATAAAAATGTTGTTATCATTTTGAATCTGAAAGTAAAACTTTAAATACAAACCTATGACAGAAATTGTCTATTATACATCATTTAGCTGAAATTTACATTTAAAAATGTTGAGTTCATAGTAATGAGTTCCTCAATAATTTATCAAATCTCAATCTGTATTATACATTTATAAAAATCATAGGTTAATAAATTTATTGTTATATATTCATATCAATTATCCATATTTATAAAATATATTGTCAACCAGTTTTTTTCAAATTAATAAAATAAGCCAATTTTTTAAAAGCATAACTGGTTGCACTGAGTTAATGATCAATGCAAAAAAATTAGTGCAGATTAATAACATGTAGGTGGGCAGAGCTACTGATTCTTTAATCTTGAGTTGTCATTAGGAATGGGTTGTTTTCATACAAATTGAAAACAAATGATGGATTCAAATGTTTTGTTTTTCAACCAATCAGCTTTTGTAGGAATGGAAATATCAGGCTGTAACATCTATGAAACTCTACAACATTGAGAATATTGTTGATGAAAACCTTTTATATAATCAAAGGAGAAGGGGCATTAACGCCCGTATTTGGCCAAGAAAATAAAATGTTTGACAACTATTCCAAATTAGCACATAGTGTTTAGAAATGTATAGTTAAGAAATATAAATGAAAAACATAAGATTTTTTATCTGATGACATCACAATTACATCATGATATGTACCGTTTTCATGAAAATGATGAAAAATTCAGAATTTATGCAGTTTTCCATCGTTATTTCCATTATGGAAATACCATGCGCAGCCAAGAAACAACAAAATAATTTAAGAGAAGCTTTTTTATAACTATTGACATAATCTCACTTAATATGAAGCTGTTTCTTGGATGTGAACATACTTTGCCAATCTAAAATATACTTAAAATTTGACGAAAAACAAGGAAAATCAAGACATTTTACAAAATATACAAATTTCGTCATGGTTTGCTGCCATGGTAACTCGTTAAATGTAAAATTTGTTTTTTTCTGAATACCTTGTACCTTAGTCTAGTTAGGACAAGTTTAAGAATATGTATGATAACTTTTAAATTTGCAGTAATATTTTGGCCAAATAAGGGCCTTATTGCCCCTACTCCTTTGTCAAGAAATATGAGGATTTCAAATTTAAACGGCAATACTTGTTGAGGTTTTGAAATATTTCAAATTTAACTGTCAAGAGAGAAGAAATATTGTACCCCTTGAGATATATTGGAGGAATCTGTTTCTGTCATGATTTTTAAGACAATATGTAGACAAAGTTTTTTTTTTCTTTTTCAATGGTCTGCCAAAAAATATTAATCGTCTAAGAACTAGAGAATTATAAATATCTATATATGTATCTGTTAAACTTAAGGAAATTTCACTTCTAATCCAACTTCATAACAAGTCTTCATTAAACTTAATGACGCTTTATATATTTCATGTATCTGTATTACTGTGAAAGTACTTTTATTCGTGGGGAACCAATTTTCGTGGTTTTCGTGGATGACTTTATCCACGAATTTAAGTGTCCAACGAAACATAACAACTGTTGTCCAAATCAAGACATGGAAAGATCTCCATGTAGGTTTGACTACCGATATGATCTAGAGAATACATTTAATATCGGCAAATCTGATACTACTATAATATAGTAGTCCCAGGACAAATGCACTATGAACTACAACTGCAGGCAGGATTATACCCATTTAATCTTTAAAAATCTAAACTGTACAACTTTTGATCTTTAAATTCTCAAAAGAAATATTTTTGATCGATGAAAGTCAGATTTCCGGTAATGATATGCTATGATAAAGTGTTCATTTTATATCCTCATAATTCTCGTATGGAAAATAATAATTTCATGCTGGGCTTGCTTTTGATAAAAATTAATTTTACAATTCAAGGTACATTTATAGCATTTGTTTATGTAACTGTTTTCTTTAAGTGACATGTTTATGGCTTAATTAACACCTTTGATGGTCTTTAATCTGTTGATCACTCGATCTCAGGTTAATCAGTGTCATCACTATGATTTGCGATTTACACGGTGCAACAATTTAAATGTTTACTTTGCAATTTCCTTCAATCGAGACAATTTGTAAGCATAGATGAATCAGCTCGTTTCCGAAAGCAATTATTTTATTTCAAATTTGTTGAATCCCGTGATCAGTTGTCAGATTTTGAAGACGAACTAGTAAGTGAAAATGAACATCTTATTTTGCAATGCCCACAAATCATTATAAAACAACAAATGGTTATTATAAATAATTTTGGTTTCTAATGGCTTCAATTCTTCACTCATTTGGTATTGTTTTTTAGAAAACTAAAATCCACGAATTTAAAAACCCACGAACATGTAATTTTTGCTCAAACCACGAAAATTGATACCCACCAATTAAAGTACTTTCAAAGTATGACAATTTGCATCTCCATGACATAAAGTATTCCACACTACTAGCTGGAATCTTTCTTGGTGTGACTGATCACTAATTTCCTCACCTGTGAATACGGATCAGTAAAGAGACAATCTGATAAACAGTGACTGCTGGTGTCCAGTAAACTTCTCACAGTAAGCGATCCATATGCACTAAAAATCAAATTGAACACATATAACACTAGTTTCTTTTTGCATTGAGCACATCTGAAACTAATACACATGCATACATGTGAAATTTGTCCTACATATTTTATTTGTAGAGATTGATATATTTTTTTCTGCTTGGTTTGATCTCAAATCATTTCAACTGTTTTTGAAAATGTTAAAATCTTATTTTTAATTAAGTTTCCATGTAAAATTTGACCTCTATTAGCAACAATTTTATATATATATATAAAAATGTGGCTGGCACTAAAGAAGCAACCCTTCTCTTGATTGGGATTTTCAAGAAACATATCTGTCAAGTTTGTTTGGCTTCAGTTGCATCACTAGTTTCTTAGAATATCCTTAAAAATTTTTTGGTGGTTTTCATAAATATTACAATGTGAAATGTCAACAGAAAAATGAAATATGAAAAAAAATGATAAAACTCATATGGCTTTTGGCCAGGTCAGCTAAAAATAAGAATGTGTCCATAGTACACGGATGCCCCACTCGCACTATCATTTTCTATGTTCAGTGGACCGTGAAATTGGGGTCAAAACTCTAATTTGGCATTAAAATTAGAAAGATCATATCATAGGGAACATGTGTTCTAAGTTTCAAGTTGATTGGACTTCAACTTCATCAAAAACTACCTGGACCAAAAACTTTAACCTGATGCGGGACGGACAGACGCACAGACCGAAAAACATAATGCCCCTCTACTATCATAGGTGGGGGTATAAAAAACAAGTAAAACAATCATAATTTTCATCTTTTTTGGTACATTAAAAAACAAGAGTGCACATGCTGAAGTTCTCGCCTGATTTACTTATCATTGAATTTATGTAGAAAGTCTGTTATGTGAAGGTTTTACTACAAGTATCACATAAACTTAACATTATCAATGTTCTATGATAATGAGGTCATGGTCATATGAACCAAGCCACACAGACATGTACACCTTACAATCATTCCATACACCAAATACAGTTGACCTTTTGCTTATAGTACTTGAAAAACAGACCAAAACACAAAAACTAAATATTAACCAATGAACCATGAAAATGAATACAAAGTCAGATGAATCCTGCCAGACTGACATGTACCCCTTACAATCATTCCATACACCACTATTAATAACTCCTGCTTATTGTATCTGAGAAACAGACCTAATCACGTAACTTTAACCTTGATCACTGATCAGTGAAATGAGGTCGAGGTCAGGTGAACCCTGTCTGATGGACAAGTAGGTGTTGCAAGGAACCCATATACCAAATATAGTTATCCTATTACTCATAATAAGTGAGAAATTCACATGACAAAAAAAGTGGGTTTTTTTTTCAAGCAGTTGCTGAACCATGAAAATGAGGTCAGGACAAATGGACATATGACAGACGGAAACTTTGTAACATAAAGTATCTGCATACAAGGTATGAAGCATCCAGGTCTTCTACATTCTGAAATATAAAGCTTTATACAAATAGTTTACATCACCGCCACAGCCAGATAGTAATACGTATGTCTCGCATACTGCAAATTTTGTCGCGAGCGAAACAAAACCAGCCATCATGCTTTCTTTGAGATATCATTAAAATAAAAGCAATTAAACTTGTAGCATAATAACCTGTTCTGATGCTCTATTTTGTAGTATTAAAAGATCCTATCCAATGAACAATAGTAAAATACTTTAGTTCTATATAAAAATATTGTCAGACCACACAAGCAATTTAAAAGAGTCAAGTTTGGTGATGCATTAATATACAATACCAAGGATTATCATGAAGTTCTTGTAATCTTTGTAAGTATTTCTGTTTAAAGGTTTCTGCTCTTTCTTTGACATCAGGACCAGTTTGACTTGCCATTGCTTGATCTCTTGTCTATAATAAATTATCATGATCAATATTGTAATGGTTTTAAAATCAATACACATACTGGAATGTATTTATAGACAGAAAATAGTATTTCTGTATTGTGGTGATTCTAGAAAAAAAGGGAATTGTGTCATCATTGAACTGAAGAAAGTTTTTAAAGAAATAAAAAAATGTGGATAGTGTCCACATGTGGACACAGATGATGCCCCCGCTTGCATATCATATAGTTATAAAGGGACATAACTGAAGAACAATAAAAGTGACGCTACCCAAATTTGAACTTGATCTGAGTTTTGTGGTAATAAGCATTGTGTGTAAATCTCATAACATTTGGTTGAGGCTAACTTAAGTAGAGAACAGAAACTAAAAATTCAGCAATTTTTCTATTTGTAAACACGCATAACTCTAAAACTGTTGTGTGTAAGTTTTATAACATTTGGTTGAGACAAACTAAAAAATTCAGCAATTTTTATGTTTATAAAGGGACATAACTTAAGAATGGTAAAAGTGTCGCCACCAAATTTCGTACTTAATCTGTATTATGTAGTAATAAGCATTGTGTATAAGTTTCATAACATTTGGTTGAGGCAAACTAAAGTTAGAAAACGGAAACAAAAAATTTGTACTTGATCTTAGTTTTGTGGTCATGAATATTGTGTATAGGTTTCATAATGTTTGGTTGGGGCAAACTTAAGTTACAGAATGGAAACTAAAAATTTTGCAATCTTTCGAATTATAAAGGGGCATAACTCAATAATGGTTAAAGTGACACTACCCAAATTCAACTTGATCTGTGTTTTATCACTGGAAGTCAAAATTAAACATTGCATTGTATAAAGCATTGATTGTAGTTGATTCAACTATAATCATGGACAAAGGAAGATAACTCCAATTCTAAAATTACTTGACATTTATAAAGGGCCATAACTCTAGACCAGTTAAAGTGATTCCACCAAAATTCAAACTTGATCTGTGTTTTGTGGTAATAAGCATTGTGTATAAGTTTCATAACATTTGGTTGAGGCAAACTTAAGTTAGAGAACGGAAACTAAAATTTTTGCAATTTTTCCATTTATAAAGGGGCATAACTCTAGAACGGTTAAAGTGACGCCACCAAAATTCAAACTTGATCTGTGTTTTTGTGGTAATAAGCATTGTGTATAAGTTTCATAACATTTGGTTGAGGCAAACTTAAGTTAGAGAACAGAAACTAAAAATTTTGCAATTTTTCCATTTATAAAGGGCATAACTCTAGAACGGTTAAAGTGACGCCACCAAAATTCAAACTTGATCTGTGTTTTGTTGTAATAAGCATTGTGTATAAGTTTCATAACATTTGGTTGAGGCAAACTCAAGTTAGAGAACGGAAACCAATTTAGGGACGTACGGACGGACTTACGTACATACGTACGTACGTACAGACGGACAAGGGTAAAACTTAATGCCCCCTCAGCTACGGCGGGGGCATAATAAATACATTACATCTCAAAATAAATATGTAGTTAATAATCAATATAATGTCACTGACATATTATAAAATGTGTCGGTAAATGGTTCCATGGATAGTCTTGCCTACAATTTCTGCTTTCAGTGTAATAGTGTAAAATTGACTGCCAAAATAAATCCATTTGTCAGTAAAAAACCGAAAAAATAAAAACAATGAAACTTTTCCCTTCAGATGCTATTTCTTGGTCTTGAAGAAACTTTTGTCCAAGTTTCGTAACATTCCTTGAAAGTTTAACAAAGTAAGTAGGGTTTTAAAATTTAATCCCAAACTGTATGTAAATGTTAACTGCAAAATACAAACAAGTCCATCATTCAAGTCCATCATTTATCAGTAAAGTATGGAAAGGAAGAAAAAAAATAGTTTCAAAAATTTACAACTGAAATTTTCTCGTAACCAATAAAAAGCTTCTGTTTTATAATTAAGCAGTTTTATAAAATTTAATGAAGCCTTGACAAAACTATTGATGTTTGAAAATCTTTAACATTTTCAAAATGTCAAAAATATTTTCAAACGTTTGTTCTTAATACTATCTATTCATCAAAACAAGCTTCTGTCTAAGTTTTGTTAAATTTAATGAAAGTTAAAAAAATTATTGATGTCTTAAAACCTAACATTGTACCTAAATGTTGAAATCATTGACAGCATTGACACTGCAGATGCCAGAATTCAGGATCACTGTGTCTCAACAGAAAAATATCACAACATAACTACAATCAGTTTAATCTGCTGTTCATAACTATTGCTCAACTCTCTTTGTCTTTCTAAGAATTTTAGGCTCAATTTTTTGGAACAAATAATTTTTTTTATCAATATTCAAATTTTATAGGATACAAAGAAACAACAAATAATCAAATATTGTGATTAATGCTTTTTCAGTAATTCTACAAACCTTATCAACACTGTTAGAAAAACAATCTATCCAATATTCCCTGGCAGCTGTATCTGTTGTCAGATCAACTGTGTCTGGAAGGTAACTTTTGGGATCTAGTAGTAGTGAACAGGGTTGTAACATCTTTTCTAATTTATCAAGTTCTAACATATCAAACTGGAAATATATCAAAATGAAACTTTTTCTATGGTATTCTTTTATAAAAAGACGTAAGAGACAACCTGATAGTACAAGAAGGCCAACAGTATTTGTATATATAAAAACAAATAAATTCATAAAACTTCCATGTAGCATACATTTTTTATTACAAGCTAATGTACATCACTGGACATATAAATTTGTAATTGAAGGAATACATCAAAATCACCTTTATTTAACTTCCTCTATGCCCTTGCATATCTCCCTTTGAAAGACATCTTTTAAAAAAAAATATTTTCCCATGTAAAAGTATGACTTATGCTCAAATTATGCAGGTGCTTGCTTTACACCAAACATAATGATTTATTTTCCACTGCAACTAGAGCTGTCTGCATTATGGGACTTAAACCCTCCCCTTCCCCCTCAAGGAGTCAAAGGTCAAAGTCAAGATCAGAATTACCTGAATTTGGTATATGACACACACCAAGACCATGAGGCAACTGCATAACAAGTTTGGTTAACCTAATTTTTACGGTACAAAAGTAATGCACCGGACAGGAAGCAAGATGGACTGACTGACACACTGACAGACAGACAGAAATGGTGATTCCTATATACTCCCCCAAACTTTGTTTGTGGGGGGGCAGGTTTAATAATTACCGTTGAACTTCTTTCTCTACTATCTAACAATGGATTAGAACTAGATAAACCAGAACATCCTGCAAAGTTCTCTCCCCATGTATATCTGTCTGTATCTGAAAATACAACTAATAATCACCAATGTGTACATCCCTTTTGTCCTACTGCCTCATGTTTTTATTCTATACCTTGCTGTAACTGTACATACAATATTTGTATCCTATCAATCTGACACTACAGTTATGACAATTTTACTGATTTCTGAAAGGATATTACTTTTACCTATTGGTTTCAGTGTACCTGGTTACTTAGGGTACACATTTGCCATAATTAACAACAAATAAAAATATCAAAAAGCATTAATTGAACAGTTTTCCATTGAAACAGATGCAACCACCATTGTTGCTGATTGAAACAAAACATAAAGCTTAACCTGCAATAATGAGCCAACATATTAACAAAAGGACAAAAACTATTTTAGGAAGGCAGGAGGATAACACAGTTTTCTCTCTAAAAATTATAATTTTCTTTTAACAATAAGAAATATAAAGTAGCATCATATCTGTTGAAAATTTAATTTAATATCCAATTTCAATTAAACTGACATAAAACTGTCATATGACTTTCACTTTAATAGATACTAAACACCTGAGTTGAGATACATAAAATTATCCAGAAATAATACAATCTTCTCCTTGTGAGCTATAAAGCTGTTTAAAATCTCTATGAAAACATTACAATCATATTAAACCTGTCATCTCTTTTTCAAAAATTTAAAAAGTCATACAATATTAATCAAGTTTTAGATGTTAAAATTATATTAAAGCTGTAATAAACTTTTCCTGAATTAAACCCAAACTGTATTGCTTAGTAGTAATGATTATTAATGTAATTACCAGTAGTGGTTAAAATTGATAAAATATGAGGAAACTGATTTGTTGTGAGTCAGGTTATTGACACTCAGGTGTTACATCACAGGTAAAACAGGCCAAAGATAAAAAATATGCCAATATGTCCTCATCTGTCTATGTAAGTCAGTTCAAGTCTACTTACCTCAAACCATTTTAAGGACATCACCAAGTTCTATTTTATTATCTAGGGACCAGTATATCTGCCCCCATGTGTAATGTAAGTCAGTTAGTCTACTAACCTGAGACAATTTTAAGGACATAACAAGGTTCTATTTTATTATCTAGGGACCAGTATATCTGCCCCCATGTGACATACATAACAAGGTTCTATTTTATTATCTAGGGACCAGTATATCTGCCCCCATGTGTAATGTAAGTCAGTTAGTCTACTAACCTGAGATCATTTTAAGGACATAACCTGGTTCTATTTTATTATCTAGGGACCAGTATGTCTGCCCCCATGTGTAATGTAGGTCAGTTAAAGTCTGCTAACCAGAGACCATTTTAAGGACATAACAAGGTTCTATTTTATTATCTAGGGACCAGTATATCTGCCCTCATGTGTAATGTAAGTCAGTTTAAGTCTACTTCCCTGAGACCATTTTAAGGACATAACCAGGTTCTATTTGATTATCTAGGGACCAGTATATCTGTCCCCATGTATAATGTTAGGTCAGATAGTCTACTTACCCGGGACCATTTTAAGGACATAACCAGGTTCTATTTTTTTTATCTACCTCGGTAGGTACCTGTATATCTGCCCTCATGTGTAATGTAAGTCAGTTTAAGTCTACTTACCCGAGACCATTTTAAGGACATAACCAGGTTCTATTTTATTATCTAGGGACCAGTATATCTGCCCTCATGTGTAATGTAAGTCAGTTTAAGTCTACTTCCCTGAGACCATTTTAAGGACATAACCAGGTTCTATTTGATTATCTAGGGACCAGTATATCTGTCCCCATGTATAATGTTAGGTCAGATAGTCTACTTACCCGGGACCATTTTAAGGACATAACCAGGTTCTATTTTTTTTATCTACCTCGGTAGGTACCTGTATATCTGCCCTCATGTGTAATGTAAGTCAGTTTAAGTCTACTTACCCGAGACCATTTTAAGGACATAACCAGGTTCTATTTTATTATCTAGGGACCAGTATATCTATCCCCATGTGTAATGTAAGTCAATTTAAGTCTACTTACCCATGACCATTTTAAGGACATAACCAGGTTCTATTTTATTATCTAGGGACCAGTATATCTGCCCTCATGTGTAATGTAAGTCAGTTTAAGTCTACTTACCTGAGACCATTTTAAGGACATAACCCGGTTCTATTTTATTATCTAGGGACCAAAATATCTGTCCCCATGTTTAATGTAAGTCAGTTAGTCTACTTACCTGAGACCATTTTAAGGACATAACCAGGTTCTATTTTATTATCTAGGGACCAGTATATCTGTCCCCATGTGTAATGTAAGTCAGTTTAAGTCTACTTACCTGATACCATTTTAAGGACATAACCAGGTTATATTTTATTATCTAGGGACCAGTATATCTACCCCCATGTATAATGTAGGTCAGTTAGTCTACTTACCCGGGACCATTTTAAGGACATAACCAGGTTCTATTTTTTTTATCTACCTCCGTAGGTACCAAGGCTTCCAAAACGGTCATATATTCCGGACAATTGTATAATGTCCGGTAAAAGTCCGGCTTGGCAAAGCATGAAACGGTCATCTACTTTTTAGTTGTAAAGGCTTTCTTAAGAGACGGTCATTTTAGAATAATTCGCAATCTTTTTGACCCAACCTTTTGCCTTTAACAGCCACACGTTTCCGGTCATACAAGTAACATGATTAATTACTATCAAAACAACCCCTACTTCAATACTTTCTAATTTTAATCAAGGCTAATTAGTTGTTGGACAGCTGAAATCTACCTGTTCAGGTGACAGGTAAACTATTTCCAGTACCGGACATCCTATAAATTGATCGGTCTATTCAAAGTTAATTTCTTACATTTCAGCGGTTTCTATCTAATTGATTTAGTCCAAAAGATTGAAATTATAAGAAATACGTTTATAAACATGATTTGATGAAAAATTTAAAAGGTTTTAAATGAAAAATCGTAAGAACTACGTTGTATGAACTAGAACACGTGTGCGCATGTGCGCAGTAGGGAAATTTAATTATGCATCCTACATTTCTTAAAAAATGATAAAAATTATCATTGATACTTGTATCTAATGTTCATTTCAAGTATTCTGTTGAAGAAATAACGTGGAAAGAGCTTCTTCACTCAGTCGTGCTTTGTAAACGTATACGGATTTTACGTATCCGTTTCTGGTCCATGTTTTACCATTGTCAGGTCAACATCCAGTATTAGGAAAATGTGATTTTAAAAACGAAAGTAAAGTTTTTGACAACGTAATTTTGCACAAATAAAGAGTCTAAGGCAGTTATGAGCACGCTGATGTGCACACTTCGAATTATGCACTGCCAATTTAACAGTTTACGTCCGGACATCAAATTCACATCAAAGTAAAGTTTAATATCGTTTTTTTTTTTTAATCTAATGTCAATCATTGGGATGGCCATCTGATTACCATGATTGCCTTTTGTTACTTAGTCTCAAGGGATTAAAATCCGGATAAGATATAAAATGTCCGGCTGGCTCAAATATTTTTTGGAAGCCCTGGTAGGTACCTGTATATCTGCCCCATGTGTAATGTAAGTCAGTTTAAGTCTACTTACCCGAGACCATTTTAAGGACATAACCAGGTTCTATTTCATTATCTAGGGACCAGTATATCTGCCCCCATGTGTAATGTAGGTCAGTTTAAGTCTACTTACCCGAGACCATTTTAAGGACATAACCAGGTTCTATTTCATTATCTAGGGACCGGTATATCTATCCCCATGTGTAATGTAAGTCAATTTAAGTCTACTTACCTGAGACCATTTTAAGGACATAACCAGGTTCTATTTTATTATCTAGGGACCAGAATATCTGTCCCCATGTTTAATGTAAGTCAGTTAGTCTACTTACCTGAGACCATTTTAAGGACATAACCAGGTTCTATTTTATTATCTAGGGACCAGTATATCTGTCCCCATGTGTAATGTAAGTCAGTTTAAGTCTACTTACCTGGGACCATTTTAAGGACATAACCAGGTTCTATTTCATTATCTAGGGACCAGTATATCTATCCCCATGTGTAATGTAAGTCAATTTAAGTCTACTTACCCATGACCATTTTAAGGACATAACCAGGTTCTATTTTATTATCTAGGGACCAGTATATCTGCCCCCATGTGTAATGTAAGTCCGTTTAAGTCTACTTACCCGAGACCATTTTAAGGACATAACCAGGTTCTATTTTATTATCTAGGGACCAGTATATCTATCCCCATGTGTAATGTAAGTCAATTTAAGTCTACTTACCTGAGACCATTTTAAGGCCATAACCAGGTTCTATTTTATTATCTAGGGACCAGAATATCTGCCCTCATGTGTAATGTAAGTCAGTTTAAGTCTACTTACCCGAGACCATTTTAAGGACATAACCAGGTTCTATTTCATTATCTAGGGACCAGTATATATATCCCCATGTATACTGTAGGTCAGTTATACTTACCCGAGACCATTTTAAGGACATAACCTGGTTCTATTTTATTATCTAGGGATCAGTATATCTGCCCCCATGTGTAATGTAAGTCAGTTTAAGTCTACTTACCTGAGACCATTTTAAGAATACTTTTAGATTTAAGTGATTTTCTAGGGACCAGTAGGTACCAACCATATCACTAATGTAGTTTTATTATTATGTATACATATGAATTACAAATATCTTGTTTCCTATTATTCTGTATACCTTCTTCTTCTGCTCCCTTCAGAAAAGCTCCTATAGCACCAAGGTATCCTTCATGTCTCATGAACAACGCTTGGATCTCACCCTGAAACAGAATCATTGTTTCAAAACTTAACTATTTCCCTGTCTTTATGTGCATTTTATTTCACATCAAAACATCAACCAATTTACCAGGATATACAATGAAGTTTGTAAGACAAGCAGTGATTTTGCTAGCGCTCATCATTTTCGTCATTTACGAAACGGTTTTCAATATGACGAAAGTATTTCAAATCAATTTCGTCACTAAAATTTTGAAAGTGTAAAAATATTTTCGCATGAAAATACTATAATTCTACCTGTCTTCATGTTTCTGACAATTTTATGACCCTCAGCCAGGGACAGTCTATACTAACATACTGTTCCTGCCTCAGCCAATTAATGTTTACAACAGGTGCTATAAGTTGTGTGATTACGGGTAATCTGCTTATCACCATCAGATGGGTCACTAATCCGTTAATTATTAATAAAGCTCATAATTGACCATCATAATTGTTTTCAAAGTAAAATCAGTCAGTCGGCATTTCAATTTCATTATTTCTCAAACGACCACAATTTACAGTTCGTTTATCGTAGTCATTTGAACAAAATGTTTTCCCCCGAACAGTTTGCATTTTAATTTCAATATTTCTGAAATGATCACAATTTGCAGTTTGTTTGTCGTAGTTTCTTCATATTCAAACATATGTTTTCTTTACTATGTACTGCGCATAGGTGAAAGTATTCTTATAAATTTAAAGACACTAATAAAAACGTAAAATACAAAAACATTAAGTACCAAAATAAATGAGGAAGACAAGTATATTTCTTAATAAGCAACTTAATTTAAACAAGAGTGCACACGCTGAATTGTCTTGCCTTTTTACTGACCATTGATTTTATGTTGAAAGTCTTAAAGATGAAGGTTTTATGCCACCAGATAGTAATACCTATGTCTTGCATGACTTTCATCGCAGGCGAGACAAAAAATGATAATTTCCTGCCTTTGTTAAACACAAACCAATCCATAGATGAATCCGGATTCAATCTGAATTTATTATCCACTTGTCACTTCCTGTTTTCATTTCGTATAAAAATCAAAAGTAAACATGATCTATTCTTAATTAATTTACAATTCACAGTCATTAGAATCGTTCCAATAAGGATTTGAACAAATTCTTGTTTCCAACTTTAAAGAAATGAATTCCAGATATTGATTTAAATGTTTTATAAGGATAATGATTATGCAGTGAAATATTCGTTACAAGTTCATTTATGCTGTGATTCCTGGTTTAAAAAAAATGAAACACACTTTTGTTGATCAGGAATGTTCACTGAAAATAACTGAAGTGAAATTGTGAAATTTATTTCGGATCTTATATCCTAATCTTCATATTTAAGCGTCACATCAGTCAAATCATGCAATTACTGCCAAGCATTTCTAAGTTCTTCAAAGATGTATAGCTAGTAATATACGTCCTTGGTCCCTTGCTGTTACCTAAAATAAGGTTGATTTTCATCTCGCGCAAAACTGACTAAAGCCCTCAAAATCTTAGCTAAAACCCTGCTTGCTTGAGTATAATTTGGGAAGGACACATCATATATTCAAGGGAGACAAGTCATGTTATTTTGGAAATATGGTAAAAGATCACTATTGAGATATTTCAATTACATTCAATCTTATCTATTGTTTTCAAGTAATAGTTCAAAGTAAAATATCATAATTTACCCTAAAACCCTTGCATATGACCTTTAAATTCGTCACTACAAATGGAAATTTGTTTTGGTTAACAAGCTCCAAGTAACAAGCATGAGCTTGGCAGGATATGCATCCTTTTCAGTTGTAGTAAGTTGAAAACAAGTGTATATTATTGTTAAAGATGTGCATTCAAAAACATAGTACACTTTGTTTTACTTAAGAAAAAAATTACATTTTTAAACAAAGGAAAAGATAAACTTCACATGGATATAAACTTTTCTAGCCCAGGGTTTGGAATTTAAACGTACAATTTTTGAGGCAGTCTATCTTCATTTACACCCAATTTTACTTAAAAGGGTATCATTCCACAAAACAGGGAGATACATCAAACAAATAAAGTAAAACAACATTACAAAAAAGATGTTATATTAAAAAAATGTGTATTCACTAGTAAGAAAATAAACTAGAGGCTCTCAAGAGCCTGTGTCGCTCACCTGATTCTACTTTGGTTTTGGAAATCATGTAAAAATAGATTAAAATCATAACAGATACCCTAATAATGAGTGAGGCCAAATTTGGTTTAATATTGGTCCTGTAATTTAATAAAAAATCCTGGTGGCCATCTTGAACAGTAAATCGGCAACAAAGTAGCAACACTTAATCAGCACCTCATAAGAAACATTTATGCCATGTTTTGGTTTCATTCCATTCAGTGCACCTCTAGAAGAAGCATTTGTATGTATTTCCCATAGGGGCTTATGTTAAAGGAAGTCCCCCCATTGGCGGCCATCATGAATGAAGGATCAGCTTCAAAGTAACAAAACTTAGTCAGCACCTCATAAGGAACATTCATGCCATGTTTGGTTTCAATCCATTCAGTATGTGGTTCTCTAAAAGAAGACATTTTTCTGTATTGTCCGTAGGGTCCTTTGTTAAACATTGTCCCCATCTGGCAGCCATCATGGATGAAGGATCAGCTTCAAAGTAACAACACTTGGTCAGCACCTCAAAAGGAACATGCATGCCATGTTTGGTTTCATTCCATTCAATGGTTCTCTAAAAGAAAACATTTGTACATATTTCTCATAGGGTCCTATGTTAAACTAAGTCCTCCGCTGGCGGCCACCTTAGATTATGGATCGGCTTCATAGTAACAACACTTGGTCAGCACCTCATAAGGAACATTCATACCATCTTTGGTTTCATTGCATTCAGTGGTTCTCTAAAAGAAGACATTTGTATGTATTTCCCATAGGCTCCTTTGTTAAACTAAGTCCCCCGCTGGCGGCCATCTTGGATGATGGATCAGCTTCAAAGTAACAACACTTGGTCAGCACCTCATAAGGAACATTCTTGCCATGTTTGGTTTCATTCCATTCAGTGGTTCTCTAAAAGAAGACGTTTGTATGTATTTCCCATAGGGTCCCATGTTAAACTAAGTCCCCCGCTGGCGGCCATCTTGGATTATGGATCGGCTTCAAAGTAACAACACTCGGTCAGCACCTCATAAGGAACATTCATGCCATGTTTGGTTTCATTCCATTCAGTGGTTCTCTAAAAGAAGACATTTGTATGTATTTCTCATAGAGTCCCATGTTAAACTAAGTCCCCTGCTGGCGGCCATCTTGGATTATGGATCGGCTTCAAAGTAACAACACTCGGTCAGCACCTCATAAGAAAAATTCATGCCATGTTTGGTTTCATTCCATTCAGTGGTTCTCTAAAAGAAGACATTTGTTTGTATTTCCCATAGGGTCCAATGTTAAACTAAGTCCCCTGCTGGCGGCCATCTTAGATTATGGATCCGCTTCATAGTAACAACACTTGGTCAGCACCTCATAAGGAACATTCATGCCATGTTTGGTTTCATTCCATTCAGTGGTTCTCTAAAAGAAGACATTTGTATGTATTTCCCATAGGGTCCCATGTTAAACTAAGTCCCCTGCTGGCGGCCATCTTGGATTATGGATCGGCTTCAAAGTAACAACACTCAGTCAGCACCTCATAAGGAACATTCATACCATGTTTGGTTTCATTCCATTCAGTGGTTCTCTAAAAGAAGACATTTGTATGTATTTCCCATAGGGTCCTATGTTAAACTAAGTCCCCCGCTGGCGGCCATCTTGGATGATGGATCCGCTACAAAGTAACAACACTTGGTCAGCACCTCATAAGGAACATTCCTGCCATGTTTGGTTTCATTCCATTCAGTGGTTCTCTAGAAGAAGTTCAAAATGTAAAAAGTTAACGCCGACGACGGACGACGGACGCCAAGTGATGAGAAAAGCTCACTTGGCCTTTCGGGCCAGGTGAGCTAAATATATGCTATACATGTTTAATTTACTTCATATTCTAATTGACAAATTTCCTTAAAAATTATCATTTCATAGCTTGACACAATGTGCTATTTTCTTAATCATAATAAATGTGAGAAATTTTCTTACTACCTTTCAAGAACTTGATTGGAAAAGCCCCCATGTATAGATTGCCTTAGTCCTATTGGCTCAACTTTTTGGAATTATCAGTTTTTAATGCTCTTCAACTGTTTTGAATCAAGCATCACTGATGAGACTTATGAAGATGAAACGAGTGTCTGGCATACAAAATTATAAGCCTGATATGTTTAATGAGTTTTGACACTATTTCAAAAGTATAAAAAATAAAAGAATGTGTTCATGAGACACAGATGCCCCCTGCTTGTAGATATGCAAGAGTGAATGTACTAATTCAAACTTTTGAGCATGGACATGAAATATTTCATCAGTACATACAACAGTTTGAGTGCAGACAAAAGACAACTTTCCAGTTATAAAGAGGTATCAATTAAGAACATTTAAACTGATGGAGTGTAGAGAACAACAAATTTAGCAGTTTTTCCATCTACAAAGCGACATAACTCAAAAACGGTGAAAGTGACACCCCCCAAATTCGGACTAGATCTGTGTCTGGTGGTAAAACGTATTGTGTATAAGTTTAATATTATTTGGTTGAGGCAAGGTAAATTAGAATGCGGAAATGAAAAATTGGCAATTGTTCCATATATAAAGGGACATAACTTGAGAACAGTAAAAGTGACGTCAACTTGATCTGTGTTTAGTGGTAATATGCATTGAGTATAAGTTTCATAGCATTTAGTTGAGGCAAACTAAAGTTAGAAAACAGGACATTAGGATTTACATACATAGAGACATATAACCTTAATGCCCCTCAACTTAGCAGCAGGGGCATAAAAATTGTGCATCTATTACTGGCTTGTTCTCCATAATATAAAGGAAGATTTGTACATGAAAAATGGTAAAAAAGACACAACTTCAATATTATTCCTATTACCTAAATACTTTAAAATAAACATGTTAAAATAACAATGATTCAATAATCCTGACATTACAATGATAGTATACCTTTGACCAAAAGTTAATAGCAAAACTAATAGTATGCATAGTAAGGGGATGTCCTCTGATAAAGTAACCACCAAAGTAAATCTTCTTTAACTGATGAAGTCTACAGTACAAGGAGGCTAACTGTCCTATATCATTACTAATGGACAACAATAAACTTCTGGCTACATCCTCATCTTTGTAACAAGGCACTGCAAAGATAAAACCAAATAATAAATATCTTTCCATGTCCAGCATTACAGTACAGTACCACAATATCAGACTTAAAATATATATTGTTAAATTCCAACTGTTTGCATAAAATTTTCCTTTAAAAGGTTATCATATTTACTTAAACTAGAAACCATAAAATTAAGACTAATACATCCTTCAGTTTTCCATTGTTTTTTCCCCCCATTTGTGTAAAATCTTTATCATCATTGCTCTATAAAAATCTATCTGAACCATACCATTTTCTTTATCAGTCCTAGCAGCTTTACCAAAACTACTGGCTATTATATCCCCTGTCAACCCAATGGTAGAATATTCTCCTCCATAAATATCCCTCACTAACATATCAACTTTCTTGTGGTCTCCTTTCTCTGCCAATTCTAACAAATCATCAAATGTCTACAATTAATCAAATATTAATCTTCTATATTATTTATTTGTTATTCTCTGAACAAGGTTAGACTTTGATAAGCCATGATTATCTCACAAGAGTTGAAAACTATCTGAGAAGCAGTTTATTGATTGAAGATAACACTTCTATGATTTGCATATCTACAAAAAGTGGATTGTGATTGGTCTGTTAGAATGTGTTTCCTTGTTTAAGACTTGATAGTCCTTGATGTGGAAACAACTTTTGTAGAGTATGTAAACAATATGTCGATTGCACTGTCATATATTCATGTGCAATACACATTCATGTAATCCTTAAGTTACAAAAAAAATGAAATTGAAAGAAAAATAGCAAATGTTTAGGTTGAGAATTATAAGGATCAAATACATTTCTCTAGAGATTATTGATTTGTAAGCTGACTGCTGAATCACAAAATTGAGTGAAAAGTTACCACATGTTTTATCAAGTAACTCAAATTTAATAACTAAGTCAATTTCTTAATATTATTTTACTGTTCTAGACTACCTTCGATGGATCAGTAAGTCTACACCTACATTTTAGATGACAAAGCAATCAAAAGTTCGGTACAGAAATGATTTCAAATTCTTTGTATTACCATATTTTGTATCTGATGGTTAAAGATTGCTGTCTCTATCTGAAAGTATCAAGTCTGTAATTTGAGGATCTACAACAACACAAAGACTGCACATACTTATCATATATGTATTTAGAGAAAAGACAACAACACATAGACTGTACATATCTACCAGTCAATAAATGTAGTCTAGTTCAAAGTCTGTACTATAATGCTGGTTGCTTACCTTGGCTTTTGTAAGAAGAGATCCAAGTCCCCAGAATGTTCCCCCTCCAGTAGATGTCCCTCCAATTCTATCATATTTTGTCTCTGATTCTACCTACAAAAATAACATAAAGGTCAAGTTGCAATTGAGGGTTTTCTAAACAGGGTATTTACATTTATTGCTGGTAAAAGTCTGTCTAGAACATAACTAAACTGGATATAAACTGTATTTTTTCAAAATGAGACAGAAGGAATAAATGGGGAATGTGTCCATGGGACACAGATGATGACCCCGACTGCATATCATATAAAGTTATAAAGGGACATAACTAAAGAACGGTAACAGTGACGCTACCCAAATTTGTACTTGATCTGAGATTTGTGGTAATAAATATTGTGTAAGTCTCATAACATTTGGTTGAGGCTAACTTAAGTTTGAGAACGGAAACGAAAACTTTAGCAATTTTTATGTTTATAATGGGCTATAACTCAAGAGCAGTAAAAGTGAAGCCACCAAATTTCAAACTTGATCTGTATGTTGTGGTAATAAGCATTGTGTATAAGTTTCATAACATTTGGTTGAGGCAAACTAAAGTTGAACAGAAACTAACTTTGGGACGTATGTACAGACGGACAAGGGTAAAACTTAATGCCCCCTCCGCTATGGTGGGTGCATAAAAATGAGCAAATGAATGAATAAACAGACAGACAGATGACTCTCTCTATTTCACCTACTGTAAATTCAGTTATTATTGCAAGGTTTTTATTAATCAATGCAAAAAATGCATTCACTGGATGAGAATTGCAATAATAACAACTTGCATTATGATATCTGATACATATATATGTATGCATATTTTTCAGAAATCGCAATAATTAATGCATGCAATAATAATTCCTCAATTTACAGTATATTTTACCTTTACAAAACTGACACCTGATCCTATGTTGACAAGAAGGTATGGAAAAATATCATGATGTATTCCTTGAAATTGATACTCTGGCTGGCCATGTCTTTGGTATATGAATGCCTCATCTGGGATATTCTTCAACAGAAAGTTACTTCCATTAATCAAGCATTCCATTTCATCTTCCTTGTCTAACCTGTGATAAATATACTATGTTGATATGAAAGTGAACACAAAATATATTGCCATAAACATGTATTTCCAAAGTATAAGAGACTTATTTGTATCATTTATGTACCATAAACATGTATTATGTGTTGCCAGCAAATGCACTGTGATGTAGAATCATTGAAAATAAACTAGAAAATACAAAAAATACACATTATCTTGCAATTGCTACAAGAGAGGGGAAAGATACTATAGGCATAATCAAACAAATTGACAATGCCAAGGCAAATTTCAACTTATCATGTAGAATTGATGTTTAGTAACAATTGCATATGTTTGATGTTCTGATCCAAACCCTAAAAACTGAATCTGAATATGATTGATGATTCTCTTACAAACTTTGTCCATGCTCAGTGAACATTGAATGCTAAAACCAAGTTCTTACATTCCTGCAATCTTTTTCTAAAACATTTTCCTATAAACTGAACATATAACTTGAAAGGAAATAATTTCTCTTACACTTATCTCGTTCAAAAATTGTATCAACTCTTAGACTGATCCAAGATGTATAATACCTTCAAATGTCTGTCTATTTGGCCATCCTAGTAATCATTACACCTCTCAACTTCAAACTGATAAGACTTCACTCTCTTTAATACTTATATCACCCTCTCAAACCTTCTTTTTTGTCCATCCCTAATTACATAATCCTTTGACCTTCAACCTTAATGTATTTCATTTTCTTTCATGTTTCTTTATCCCCTCTAAAACTTAGAGTATGATACACAATCTGATAAAATGCCTTAAACAATTACAACATAAAACAGGTTCCAGCAATTTTTTAATAACTAATCAAAAATCCAATTCCCCATATAAAAACATATTTTCAAGCATATGTACCTGAAGAGTTTTCTTAAATCAAATAAATACTCACTGAACACCAAGGGTCTTTATAATTTGGTCCTTGTACTTATGTGCCCCTCCTCCTGTAGCTTTAATGTTTTTCTTGTCCAACATAAATTCTTTTGACTGCATAAGATGTCCTCGAATAAAATCCAAACATTGGTGTATATACTTTGTCTCAAACTTGATAAAATGTAATCTTCTTGTGTAGCCATCTTCTTCCAAAATTTGATAAATACAATTATTGTCCTCCTTCTGAAAAAAGAAATATTTCAGTAAAATCAGCTTAACTTATCCCAATATAAGTTTAATATTGGTTGAAATGTATTTCTATCAGGAAACCTTTATGTCTCTTTTATGGTTGTATTGATGACTGTGATCCTATGAGACATAACTTCTCTTAGGTTTTCATACAAAGTTTGGTCCAATATATACTTAAATTCCAGTGATATGAAGCTAATTATAAAGTTCCCTCTTGCCAGGATGCTTAGAAAAATTTCTAGGGGTAAGACTGGTATTTGTAGATACACCAAACATAATACAAAAAAAAAGAAGTCAGATAAAGATTAATGAAGCAGCAAGCAAACACCACTCATTTACAAAAGCAGACATTTAAAGTTTTTTATACAAATACATAAAAAAAAATTGTTATGTCGGGGTTTGATACTTCGAGATAACATCAGGGTTCTGTCTAAAGGATTCAAGTCCTTGTGATAGCCATGATGCAAATTGTTTGTCTTACTAGAAAACATTCAAGCTACATTACTATCCTGGTCACACCTGACTGAAAATTATAGAATTTAATATTCCAGAATTCATAAACACAGCAGAAGCAAGAATTCTTAGTTATCAATTCTAAAATCTACACCTATGTTTGGTAATTTGAATTTGGGTGTACACATAAGGATAATCTGTCAGCGGCATTACTTAAACAACTTACTTTTCAAAATCATCATTACAATTTATGTTGAAAATAAGGTACTTTTAAATATTACTGAAATTACTCATACAAGTCACTTTTGTAAATATCATATAGTGTTCTTTTTATTTGTCTTTGTATATTTTAACCTTTACTGTTTTGTCCATTTTTGGTATATACTTTTGACGTGGCTAGGTATTTATACATCCCGCCATTGTGTTATTGTCTATGGTCATTTTTGTATTCTTGTCTTTCATTTTTGCTTATATACTTTGTCTATAGAGTGTCTATATGCCATTTTTGTTTTTTTTTTTGTTTAAATAGTTATTTGTTTTTATATTGATTAAGATTATAAGATAATGTTGACTGCTGTACCCCAATTTTTTCATTTTTACCTATTACGTCTGTTTGTTTTGCTCACACATTGTTGTCAATATAATGGAATGCTATATGACTGTCATACAAGTGAGAGGTTTACCTAGCTATAAAACCAGGTTTAATCCACCATTTTCTACATAAGGAAATGCCTGTACAAGTCAGGAATATGACAGTATTTTTCTATTTGTTTGATGTGTTTGAGCTGTTGATTTCGCCATTTGATAAGGGACTTTTCATTGGAGTTACTTTTTACAGAGGTGTCCATTCTATCAGCTTTTACTAGCATAAACAAAATATCTCAGACTTCTGTTTTATTTTACATGAAGTATAAAAACTATATCCTCCTGAAACACTATTTGCCTTCCAGATGTATTTACATTTAAAATTGACACTTCTGGGTAAAACTAGAGGCTCTAAAGAGCCTGTGTCGCTCACCTTGGTCTATGTGCATATCAAACAAAGGACACAGATGGATTCATGACAAAATTGTGTTTCGGTGATGGTGATGTGTTTGTAGATCTTACTTTACTGAACATTCTTGCTCCTTACTATTATCTTTATCTATAATGAACTTGGCCCAGTAGTTACAGTGGAAAATATTATGTAAATATTTACAAAAATTTACAAAATTTATGAAAATTGTAAAAAATTGACTATAAAGGGCAATAACTCCTTAAGGGGACAATTGACAATTTTGATCATGTTGACTTTTTTGTAGATCTTACTTTGCTGTACATTATTGCCGTTTACAGTTTATCTCTATCTATAATAATATTCAAGATAATAACCATAAGCTGCAAAATTTTCTTAAAATGACCAATTCAGGGGCAGCAACCCAACAACGTGTTGCCTGATTGGTCTGAAAATTTCAGGGCAGATAGATCTTAACCTAATAAACAATTTTATTCACGTCAGATTTGCTCTAAATGCTTTGGTTTCAGAGATATAAGCCAAAATCTACATTTTACCCCTATGTTCTATTTTTAGCCATGGCGGCCATCTTGATTGGTTGGCCGGGTCACCGGACACATTTTTTAAACTAAATACCCCAATGATGATTGTGGCCAAGTTTGGTTAAATTTGGCCAAGTAGTTTCAGAGGAGATGATTTTTGTAAAAGATTACAAAAATTTACAAAAAATGGTTAAAAATTAACTATAAAGGGCAATAACTCCTTAAGGGGTCAACTGACCATTTTGGTCAAGTTGACTTATTTGTAGATCTTACTTTGCTGAACATTATTGCTGTTTACAGTTTATCTCTATCTATAATAATATTCAAGATAATAACCAAAAACGGCAAAATTTCCTTAACATTACCAATTCAGGGGCAGCAACCAAACAACGGAATGTCCGATTCATCTGAAAATTTAAGGGCAGATAGATCTTGACCTGATAAACAATTTTACCCCATGTCAGATTTGCTCTAAATGCTTTGGTTTCAGAGATATAAGCCAAAATCTACATTTTACCCCTATGTTCTATTTTTAGCCATGGCGGCCATCTTGGTTGATTGGCCGGGTCACTGGACACATTTTTTTAAACTAGATACCCCAATGATGATTGTGGCCAAGTTTGGTTAAATTTGGCCAAGTAGTTTCAGAGGAGAAGATTTTTTTAAAAGATTTCAAAAATTTACGAAAAATGGTTAAAAATTGACTATAAAGGGCAATAACTCCTTAAGGAGTCAACTGACCATTTTGGTCAAGTTGACTTATTTGTAGATCTTACTTTGCTGAACATTATTGCTGTTTACAGTTTATCTCTATCTATAATAATATTCAAGATAATAACCAAAAACGGCAAAATTTCCTTAACATTACCAATTCAGGGGCAGCAACCAAACAACGGAATGTCCGATTCATCTGAAAATTTTAGGGCAGATAGATCTTGACCTGATAAACAATTTTACCCCATGTCAGATTTGCTCTAAATGCTTTGGTTTCAGAGATATAAGCCAAAATCTACATTTTACCCCTATGTTCTATTTTTAGCCATGGCGGCCATCTTGGTTGGTTGGCCGGGTCACTGGACACATTTTTTTAAACTAGATACCCCAATGATGATTGTGGCCAAGTTTGGTTAAATTTGGCCAAGTAGTTTCAGAGGAGAAGATTTTTTTAAAAGATTACAAAAATTTACGAAAAATGGTTAAAAATTGACTATAAAGGGCAATAACTCCTTAAGGGATCAACTGACCATTTTGGTCGTTGACTTATTTGTAAATCTTACTTTGCTGAACATTATTGCTGTTTACAGTTTATCTCTATCTATAATAATATTCAAGATAATAACCAAAAACGGCAAAATTTCCTTAAAATTACCAATTCAGAGGCAGCAACCCAACAACAGGTTGTCCGATTCATCTGAAAATTTCAGGGCAGATAGATCTTGACCTGATAAACAATTTTACCCCATGTCAGATTTGCTCTAAATGCTTTGGTTTCAGAGATATAAGCCAAAATCTACATTTTACCCCTATGTTCTATTTTTAGCCATGGCGGCCATCTTGGTTGGTTGGCCGGGTCACCGGACACATTTTTTAAACTAGATACCCCAATGATGATTGTGGCCAAGTTTGGACAAATTTGGCCAAGTAGTTTCAGAGGAGAAGATTTTTGTAAAAGTTAACAGACGACGCCGGACGACGACAGACGACTGACGCAAAGTGATGAGAAAAGCTCACTTGGCCCTTCGGGCCAGGTGAGCTAAAAATGGGTTTTTTGAGACTATTAAAATATCTTTTTATTGTAATGTAAAAATTAATAAAAACTTCAGTAGTCCATTTAAAATAAATTTATTTAGAATTTTTCTTTTAAAATCGGCTATATAGTTAATTAAAAAACTTAATGGTTTTACATTTGTCATTTCAGGCCTTTTATAGCTTGCTATAATGTATGGGTTTAGATCATTGTTAAAGGCTTTGCAGTGACCTTAGTTGCTAACTTCTATGTTATTTGTTCTGTTGGGGCATTGTCGAATTATCATTCATACCACATCTTCTTAATTTTATATTGTTAAAGTAATTCCCCTGACTGATAATGGTAAGTCCAAAAAAAAAATTATTTATAAAACAAGTTTGCAAATCATTGACTCACATGATCACGAACTTGTGATGTCCTTCTGTGTAGTTTGGAGCAGTAGGCAACTTTTACCAGGGATCCACCTGTGAAAAAATAAAAATAACAATATGAACAGAAAATATAAAACAAATTGCCATTGTTATCATACATTGGAATAACAATGATATTTGATAACATTTCTCCATCCACATTGACTCTTATACAAAAATAAGGAGATGTGGTATGATTGCCAATGAGACAACTATCCACCAAAGTTCAAATGAAATGGATTTAATCAATCATAGGTAATCATACCGTCTAACTTTCTTATTCCAATTAATCCTTTGGTAACTGTTTTCAATCACTTCATAAAGTACCCCACACCAATGTTCTACTGAAACAGTTGTACAATAAAAGTAGCTACAGTATTCTCCTAATTGAAAAAAAAATTAGATTCCTAAGAACACAATGTATTTATTGGCGGCCTGAACAAGCATGACAAAATTTTAAATCTGTATCAGAAGCAATCAACAGTAAATCAAAAGTGTGTTGATTGAAGGGCTAAAAATAACAATGTCTACATCTGAATCAGTTAGAATTTGCATCATTAGCTAAATTATTATAGTAATTACCATTTCCAGACATATGTTTTCTTAAATAAAGCTTAAATAAGTATGCATTAAAATTATTCAGAAAACAATCACTCAATGTGTTCTAAAATTAAGGATGGGCCATAATTTTCCAGAGTAACAGACACGAAAGACTTTTGAATATTTTCAGAAATTATCAGTTGTCAGCATCTTATTTGTTAATATGTTTCTCATATTAATAAAAGATTGGACAGTATTTCTCACCCTACCTTTTCATTTAAATGTCATTGTTACTAATTATTTTGTTTTCTTGATTGGCAGTATCCAACAAACTAGCTATATCTAGCTATATGTGATAGAGAGCATACTGCTTTGACAATTATGTGCTATTTATTATTTCTTGTTCAAGTTATTGGTCATTCTGTTGGTAGCTGTGCTGTGCAGGTATTTTGCTACATGTTTTAGTTTTACAACATATGCCTACATTTGTAGCTAGGTAAATGGATCAATCCCAACACATTTTGTGACTATACCAAGTCAGGCTATCTTGACCATGTGTTGTCATTGTTGTTTGTATGTCTGTTTTGTCTGGAGGAGTCATGTGTTGTCATAGTTGTTTGTATGTCTGTTTTGTCTGGAGGAGTCATGTGTTGTCATTGTTGTTTGTATGTCTGTTTTGTCTGGAGGAGTCATGTGTTGTCATTGTTGTTTGTATGTCTGTTTTGTCTGTAGGAGTCATGTGTTGTCATTGTTGTTTGTATGTCTGTTTTGTCTGGAGGAGTCATGTGTTGTCATTGTTGTTTGTATGTCTGTTTTATCTGGAGGAGTCATGTGTTGTCATTGTTGTTTGTATGTCTGTTTTTCTGGAGGAGTCATGTGTTGTCATTGTTGTTTGTATGTCTGTTTTGTCTGGAGGAGTCATGTGTTGTCATTGTTGTTTGTATGTCTGTTTTTCTGGAGAAGTCATGTGTTGGTGGTTGATGAGGTCTGTTGCACTGTCTAGAATTTTAAGTGACTCAGACCTATACATTTTATATACATTTGTATTACCAATATCAACAGCAAAGTGACAAGCATTCTGTAAATTTCTAAACACATCCTCTGTTGGAAGGTCAATGCTGGTAGCATATCTTTTATCTGTAGAACTCATCCTTGGTTGTCAACATCATACAATATATGCAAACATAGACTACCTGCAAATGATTGATTACAGTTTAAAAATAATCAAATTATAGTGTAGGTGTACACTTCATCTAAAATTAGATGGTTAATATAAACAAAATCATGAGATATGCTGTTTACTAATCAATTACACTGTGCAAGAACCTTAACTTTTCTAGAATGTAGTTCACAAGGCTGCAAGAAGATATTTCACCCTAATCTGACAAATTATTCTGACTCCAGACTGCCGTCTTTGCTCTTACTCCTTAATGTTGCATGCTTAGTGGAAAAGCAACAAATACTCATTTTCAAGTCTTTGGTTAGACAAGGCTTGATACCAAAACCATAACCGTACTCCACTTCAGGCATACACGCTACTACAAGACTATGTGCTTCAAAAGATAATCGATAAAATAAAATAAGTGCCCTATAACATTACAAAATGTATATGTATATGTTTATGTGAAAGATTCAATAGATTCTAATTTTGGATAGATATTTGGTACCAGTACCACAAAATAAAGAAATGGCAAAGTTCATTATCTACTTAGGTAAACTATTAAAAGAATTCTGATCCAAAAAATTAATAGTTTCCTTACACTAGTGTTTTCTGATTAGAGGTTAATGGAGAAGCTAATCAATTGTGCCTTTATACACATATGCACATTCACTGTTCTACAATCTGCCGATACCTATATTTTGGTATTGTACAAGGTACTGTGCTAGTTCCAAGTCAGGAGGTCTGTCATATTTTTTTTTGGAAATTGTTTTGTTATAAATGAGGCCTTTAGTTTTCTCAATAGACCAGGTTTGAGTTTGTTGCATTTCCATCCAAATATTTAATTTTAATGAACATCATTCGTGCGTAGAGGGGCATTGTCACGTCCTTCTCATGTTGAGCAAGCGGTTGAAAAAAATATGATGCTATATTGCACGAATTATTCCACAAATTATTATACAAGTAATTGATAGTCAGCACTTCTGTCATTAGGGAATTGTGATTACGTACCTACAGAATAAACATTATTTCAAGTTTATCCTGCATAATGACGATCAGAAACTCTCTTGATGAACTTCAATAGTGCAGGGATACAGGCGGTTCCCTCCATCTGGCAGATGACATCATAAAGGCCTGCATAATTGACAAACTTTTTCAGAGAAGGCCATAACTCAAAAGTGGTCTATTAAACTGTTTTATATTTTTCATGTTGGGGCCTTTTAAAGCCGACTATATAGTGTAGGTTTTTCTCATTGTTGGAGGCCATACTGTTGCCTATAATTGCTTACATCCACTTCATTTGAATAGTGGTTGATAGTTGTCTAATCGGCAATCATACCACATCTCCTTATTTTTATATATCCTTAGTTTGAAATACTCCAGACTTCTGTCTGGTCCTGATAAAAATTTTCCCAAGACTGGCAAGACTGATGATTTTCAACATCTATGTTTAACTGTAATTTTTTTAAAGTTAAATGTACACATGTACAGTGAGTACTGTGTGATTTTATTTGGGCTATGGATTAAATGGGGATTTCCTCGATCTCCTATACTGGAGTTGAAGATTACTTACAGATAGAGCCTATAGTAGCATACAGATATGACAAATTCAATGTCGTCACATAGTAAATTTAAAAAAATCATTGAAGTAACAAGTAAGAAGGAGCAAATTCATAAAGTACATCTAATCTTATAAGGACTAAGGTACAAAAAAATATGTCTGTTTCCTGCCTCCAACCATTATGAAATAGGGTTGGTAGGTATGGATTTCATTTTATTTTTTTTTCACTTAATTTTTTTGCACATAAACAAGACTCAGAAATGCATAGAATTTTTACTTGTCCCACACCTAAAGTTGCCTTGTTTCCACCACCCCACTTTTTCAAAATCGTTAATCCCCATTAGCATGTGCTTTGAACAGGGTGGGAACCCCTCAAAGTAATGACAATCCGTTTTATGAGGGGTAAATTTCAAGAGATAGAATATATTTTTTTTTTAATTTATATAACAGCTTTTAAGTACAAAAGGGCACAATTGGTATGTTAGCCATAAAAATGCTTCTGATGGAAAATTGTTCAATTACTTGAAATTTAAACAAAATTTTGGCTATGAAAATTATCTCTCTTTGGTTGAGAACTTTGATTTTGGAAGAGCTATTTGTAAATTACGTATATCGGCTCATAAGCTTCAAATAGAATTTGGCCATTTTTCAAATATTCCACGAAATGAAAGAATTTGCAAAAAATGCTCTTCTGGCTGTATTGAAGATGAAATCCATTTTTTAACTTCATGTGAAAAATTCAACTCTTATAGAGATGCTCTCTTTGACTTTGTTTGCCATAAAAAGCCAAACTTTACTTTACTGGACAATCAGCAAAAAATCATATATTTATTGAGCTGTGAACATGGTGAAGACAATCAGGTACTTAATGCTGTTCGAAAATTTATTCAAGTCAATTTGAGTTAGATATATTTATTTCTCATATAAATATATAATATACTTTAAACCAAGGGCTTTTTCACAGTCTAATTGTATTGTAATTGTATATTTAAATTCTATGGATATATGCTAATCAATGTTCTTTTTCCTTATACATGTATTCTCTATATGCCCCTTGTGGGCCCTTAATCACAGGCGCTTGGGTATATATGATACAGATATTTTTGGGGGATATTTTTTTATCATATACCTAAGCGCCTGTGCCCTTAATTGGTAATAAAATATATCTTATCTTATATATCTATTTAAATTATTTGCAGAAGCTTTTCCCAAAGTACAATACGTCTATTTGGTATTATATCAACAAAACATGTCATGATGAACTTTGGAACATTCATTTACGTCAATCTTCTTTATTATTGAAAATACGAGGACCCCTCTTTTCGAAAAGTTGTTACAAATATAATGAATTTTCCCCTATCATATCTAGTTAAAAAGGCTAAGTTTTTCTTTTCTACAACAGCAAAATAACCCCTTGTCTGAGGGACAGTCCCTCGTTTAAGGGATATCCCTCATTTTGGGGGTTGTCCTAACCTGTTGTACTCGAAATCAAAGAGTGGATGTTGACTTTATTTGATACAACTACAAGGATTTGTATACTAATACTATACAAATCCTTGGTTGATAGTAGTTTTTAGTACAAAAGTCAGGCCTTCAGTCAATATAGATAAATTTCAGCAGGTCATAAATATTTGACAGTTTACTTGTTTACACGAATTTTGCAAGTATTGGTCAATAGATCAGATGATTAGGCATACTGATTGTTTCTTACATTTTTTTAACTACTGTTTGTTTACACCGGAAGTTAAAAGTTATCTATGGAAAATCCCGGATGACATACATTTTCCCGCCAAAAATTTAATTGGCGAACAGTGATCAACAGTCGCCGGCATTCATTTTTCTTGTTTTTAACTCACCTGACCTTCGAAACGAGTTAAAAACTAATATAACGAAGGAAAACGACAGATTCAATCAAATTGATATACTTTCGTCATGATTCTTATGTTAATGTCACTGGCGCTTCGGGGGAATCAAGTAAGGATTTGTATAGTAATACTAGTACTATACAAATCTTTGGGGGAATGAACCCCTTTTAAATGCGGATCAAGCATTTTGAAAAAGGGGGGCCTGCGGGTCCCCAAACTAGACAAAACGTGTAGTGGATCCGGTAAAAAGTCTTGATTAACCATTAATAAAGCTCCATAAGGGGAGCTAGGGGGCCTGGCCACCCCCTTAATTCGTCCCTGCTGAGTTTTTAGCCGTCACCTGGCCCCTTTGGGCTTTTCTCAACACTTGGCGTCTGTCGTCCGTCGTCGTCGATCGTTAACTTTTACAAAAATGTTCTCTGAAACTACTGGAACAAATTTAACCAAACCGGCTTGGCCACAATCACCATTGGAGTATCTAGTTGAAAAAAAATGTGTGCGATGACGCCGCCTGCCATCCAAGATGGCCGATATGGCTAAAATAGAACATAGGGGAAATGCAAGTTTTGTCTATTATTTCGAGAACCTTTATAAAAAGAGAAAATCTGACAGGGGCAGAAATGTTCAGAATGTTGAGCTCTATCAATTGTACATTAACGTCAAAACTGTCAAGGGGACTTCTTATTGGAGTAATTGCCATTTAATAACAAATATTACCATCTTTTATCATCTTTTGCCTATTATCTTGGAAACTATGATAGAGAAAGACACAGAGAAACTTTAATTTGCAAAAATGATCAGCAAAACAAGATCCACAAATAAGTCTCATGGTCAAAATCGTCGGTCGAATCCTTATTAGAGTTATTGCCGATGACGATTTTTAACATTTTTTTCGTTATAGCCTAGCTTATATCTTAAAAATTATAAAAGATAGATAAAAACATAAATAAGCAAAAATGATCAGAATGACAAGATCTACAATTAAGACAATATGGAGGAAATAGTCCGACGACATCTTATTGGAGTTATTGCCCTTTAATGAAGATTTTTACCATTTTTTTGCGTTTTGCTTTATATGATAAAAATTTTAATAGATAAGTATAAACTTTGAATAACAAAAATGACCAGTAAGACAAGATCTACAATCAAGTCAAATTTTGCCGATATTGTTAGTAGACTGTCACTCTTTATAAGAGATTTTTGTCATGAATTCTATTCGCGTCTACAATGTTGGAGAGTGTACTTCTTTGAATACGCACATAGACATAGGCCTCTAGTTTTCTTTTGTTTCTTTTTGGGGTGGGTGGAGGGTGGTAAATGTTTATTTAGTAACTATTCTTTAATATTTAACCTATTTTCACTTATCTAATGTGTTCTTGCTCTTATCTTATCTTACGATATTACAATATCAGTGGTTTATATATGATGTATGGCCCTCTATTCTTAACTTGAGTTTTCCGGCACAACGCATGTGGAAAATGAAAATAATCATGTTATATCAGTATCGCACGTGTAAATTAAGGTATATAGAATAAAAAATTCAGAGACAAGTGCCTGTGGTGTCTAGGTAATATATGTTGGATTTTCAAGTGAATTGTAGTTATATAATTTCTTAACACGCAATTATTGATTAAAAAAAACAAAGTTTCAACTTTTACGACGACAGTTTTCAGTGGTGTGAAACCTTAATATGGCAAAGGCTTCTTTTAAATTCTTTAACAAACCTATAGTTGGTGTTTTTTGTGGGAGTGGGGGGGTTAAAGACAGTTACATATAACCGATAACAGCCACAAATCAATAATGTCAGTAAACCTCCCCATCAAAGACTACTGAATTGCACCCGTCACACCTGGTACCAACTGTTATTTTATTTATCTCACTTCCAACCCCATGTGACACTTAATTATAGGTAACAATACATGTTTGTTGCTTTGATTAACATTCATTAATTATTTATCCATTAGTACTGCGTTTTTCATGTGAACTTACAACATAGCTGCCAAAGAAACCTATACAACTTGATTTTTTTTTTACTTCGAAGCTGATGTGGAATTTTGTATGCTAAAAAGTGGGATATAATCCAATATAATGGCACCAACAAATAATGTCCATGCTGGTAAGTTGGAAGCAAGATATATTGAAAAAATTCACAATTACCTTTTCGCATTCTCAAAAATAATATGACGCAGGATGAAACTGATGGGAGGTTTTTTTCCATTAGTTATAGGTATCATCTTGCTAAGTTTTGAATTGCTTTAGTTATGTATAGTTAGCAATACGTCTCGTATTTATTTTCTATTTTAATTTGTTTTGGTTCAAAAAAAATCTAATTATCTTAATATCAATAATGTTAATAACTTTCATGAGATGTAAACATTGATATAATGAATGGTATATTTAGATATTAAAATAAAGACTAAGATTATTGTGTTTTAATAAGAATTTGTATGTTACGATTTATGTTTCACTGGTTTATTCCAACAGTTATTTCGACGTTATTGTTTTTTACATACTAGTATACATGATTTTAGCAGATCATTAAGCCTGTGTTTGTCTATGATGTTCAGAATTCCAAACGGTTATCTATATGACATCTATAACTGGTATTTACTTAATTTTTCCAAATAATTTTACAAAAGCCTATATTTCACCATGGTAACGTTAATACATCCATAACAACGGAAGATTTCATTATCGATTTAGTCGAATCAAGCATCTTTAACATGTTAAAATAACATAAATACGACCACTGTGAAAGAGTACGTTGTTTATTAATTTAGTAAGAAATCTATAAAGACTCTTAGATTGTCACGAAAATTGACAATTCATTACCGGTGTTTTTAATGTAAAAATGAGTGCGTCTAACATTTGTTGTAAATTTCCTGATAATCGTGTTTTATGGTTTTATTAAAATTTTATAATATTGGTTTTTGAGGGTTGGTGTGTTAATGTGTGTATGTTTATTTTGAAAAATTTTTGGTTGTCTTAATTCTATCATAAATCTCGCATATTTGATATATGTTGGTAAATTTTAACTTTTGCGAAAATGACCTGCTTTGAGAAAAATGTTTTGTTTTTGTTGTATATTTTTTTTTCAAGTGTACGCTTATTTTGGCTGATCGCCGTTATTCTTCAACGGTATATATACAACATTTATTTATTTCATAATAAAAAGGGAAATTAGGTGACACCCTACGTTTTTTTAGATAATAAGGAAAAATTGAAAAGGGACTGACTTAATTTACTTTTAATTTGCTCTACCCTTGAAAAGAAAGATTTTTGAGAAAACATGAGAGGAAGGTCTCATAGTTAAATGAAACTATGTCATTTCACATCAACACGGTAACACGTTTCTAGACATTGTTCATTGTTGTGTGGCTTTTTTTACAAGTCTATTTTACGAAAGAGTCAGGTGTTAGGTAGGTGCGGCCTATTGTATTATACAGTATTTTTTGGTGATTCAGGTTATCCTTTTAATCAATATATATTAATAAATCTTGGTTGAATATATGCAATTTCAATTTTGATCGCAAGAAGAGTACTGTTATACTGCTCCAGACAAGACAAAAACTTTATTAAAGTCTCACCACTTGTTACATATAAAAAATTCCTTTATCTTTTTTTTTATATAAAAAAAGACAGATAACCCTTTGAAATCTATAATTGTAGCTAAGTACGTAGCATCAAAACGACTGATTGTGACAGAAAACAGAATCGGCATATGTACCATCGAGTTAAAGATCAATAATTTTTTTTTGCAAACCTAAGTATCGGATTGGAGACTCAGCGTGGAAAATAGCAGCATTTATTTTATTTTACAAAGTTGTCACACTCACGATATACAATGACGTTTATTATAAGAATGACTTTTTTGTACTAACTATGACTACATGGGTTATGATTAAGTTTTTATAGATATTCCGCGGTATTTTACATCTGCCACAACATTGTTTTCAATCGCTTTGTAAACTTTAAAAAATACTTTGAACTCATCTCTTTACCAATTCTTTTTGAAATGTTCACCATGAAATTAGTGCTGTTTCTCTTGTCGTTCTTTATCCCCTCTAAAACTTAGAGTATGATACACAATCTGATAAAATGCCATAAACAATAACAACATAAAACAGGTTCCAGCAATTTTTTAATAACTAATTAAAAATCCAAATTTCACCATATGTAAACATATTTTCAAGCATATGTACCTGAAGAGTATTCTAAAATCAAATAAATACTCACTGAACACCAAGGGTCTTTATTGTCGTTTTTCATATATTTTCCTTGAATTACTTTAAACGAATTCATAAGTTACACATGAACTGAAGTATTTGACATCACAAAATGTTGTGGCCAAACCGGTTCTTAGGGTGAACACTAAATTTTCAAAAAAATCTGGAGGCCTGTGAGACGACTTAATTTGTTTAAAATTGGTATGGACGAATACTATTACATGTAATGCAGGGCAAGCTCATTTTGATTTGTCACATACATATGTTTTAATGGCATATTTGTCCAATTTCTGTATTGTACCTTCGATATTTGTTCACCTAGATACATGAAATTAACTGAAACTCGAAAATCAAAACATTTTCTGAAAAATCAACATGAGCTTGCCCTGCATTAGACATAACAGTATTCGTCCATACCAATTTTAAACAAATTAAGTTGTCTCACAGGCCTCCAGATTTTTTTGAAAATCTAGTGTTCACCCCAAGAACCGGTTTGGCCACAACATAACAATTTCAAGTTTATTTACAATTTACACAGTGTGTATATGTTAAGTATGTTTAAATGAACATATGTTCTCATAGTTTAGGACTTTACTCATTATAGGTTGAAAAATACAGGCAAAGTTTAGATGTTTATTAAGTGTCCTATT